TACAATTTTGCCTCAGCCAAAACTCGTAACAAACTAGAAATGTGTCCATAGGACACGGGTGCCCCCACCGCGCCACTGTTCTGTCAATCTTTTGACTCTAGGTCAAATATTTTTTGAAAACTAAAAATCTTTCACTAAGTAAAGGGCAAGAACTTTACAAATACTGAATTAATCCACAAGCAAACCCCAATGTGCATAAGTACAGATGCTGACCAACATTCTTGTAAACTTTCAGGCCTACAAGTGAAATTCTTTTTGAGCTATGCATGAACAAGTTGAAAATTGCAAATTTATACTACTGTAAGTCAAGGGCAACAACACTAACAAAACTGAAAAAAATCCACATGCAAAGTCCCAGGTGCATAGCTTCACAGTGATGTGAATCATTATTCCTGTAATTTAGTGATGTTGATCATTATTCCTGTAAAGTTGGTTGATTCTAACTCAAGGAACAAATAACATTTTTTTTTTTTTTTTTTAATGCGTTTATTTAAGGTCGCCGCCGGAAAGCCCATATGGGCGACCGTACACTCAAGTCGGGCCATCCTAGAGCGTCCCGCCGAGATTTTTTCGACGATTTTTTTCCAGCTTTATCGGTGGAGGAAGACCCCAGGTGCCCCTTCGGGCATTATTTCAGGCACGAGCGGGCACCTGGGTAGAACCACCGACCTTCCGTAAGCCAGCTGGATGGCTTCCTCACATGAAAGATTTCGACCCGATTGAGGATCGAACCTACAGCGGTGAGGGACCTGTGATCTCAAGTCAGCGACCTTAACCACTCGGCCACGGAGGCAAACAAATAACAACATAATGAAGCTGCTTTTATTAAGTCAAGGGAAATAACTCTACAAATACTGGATAAATCCACAAGTGAAACCCCAGGTGCAAAACTAAATATGCTGAGCAACCTTCCCATAAAGTTTAATGACTCTATGTCAAATCCTTTTTGAGTTACATGCGACACAAGTTGAAAATTGCAAAAAAATTCTAAGTCAAGGGCAATAACTCTAAAAATACTAAATAAATCCAGACAAAAATACCCAGGTGCACAACCACACATGCTGATCAATATTCCTGTAAAGTTTCATGACTCTAGGTCAAAAACTTGTTTAGTTACATGCAACACAAGTTGAAAATTGCAAAATTTTACTAAGTCAAGGGCAATAACTCTAAAAATACTAAATAAATCCAGACGAAAATACCCAGGTGCACAACTTCACATGCTGATCAACATTCCTGTAAAGTTTCATGACTCTAGGTCAAATACTTTTTGAGTTACATGCGACACAAGTTGAAAATTGCAAAATTTTACTAAGTCAAGGGCAATAACTCTAAAAATACTAAAAATATCCAGACGAAAATACCCAGGTGCACAACTACACATGCTGATCAACATTTCTGTAAAGTTTCATGACTCTAGGTCAAATACTTTTTGAGTTACGTGCGACACAAAAGAGAACGGACGGACGGACAAGGGTAAATCTAAATGCCCGCCACTAAAGTGGGGGCACAAAAAAGGGGAAAAAAACAAAGACCTGGTCCCCTGAATTTGGAACTAAAATTGTTTTCACATTGGGAACCTAGAAATGTTGCCAACCCCCTATCCACCCTCCCTGAAAAACAGCAACTAAATAAAACTGTATGAAAAGTATACAGAGACAAAAAACTTTAATTTCAAAGAGAAACTGTCAGTTAATAGAGCGGATGTTCCCATTAAATAGACTAAGGGGCCATTTCTTTTGTTATTTTCTTTTGTTTAATAGAGGGCCATGACCCCTTATTCTATTGTTACTGAATGCACTCTATTGTTCTCTTTTGTTCTGTTTACAGCTACTAGGCCCCTACTTCTAATGGCACATTCAAAGGTCTTATAATACATGTATAACTTAATTTGTGAGTACAGCAAATGTAATTTTTTTTTGTGAGACAATATGGTTGAACATCCTTTGTGAAACAACATTTGTCTTCCACTGCCAATTCATATCAACTATAGCTGATATTTGGCAGAATCCTTCAGAAATAAATAAGTGTTGGTAACTGACCAATGGCTAATATTTGTGTAATAAATTGGCACTAAACATTAAACAAAAATTAAGAACAAGATAAAATATACTTTTTAACTGCATGATTGTAAAGATAGAATGAAAATTTATATAATTCTGCTTTTTATACCCCGGACTTTCGTTAATGAACAGTTTCATTCAAATTAAAACATACATGCTTTTTGGTATTGCAAAAAGAATATAATATTGTTGCTCACATAAATTAATTTCATGAATTTTAATTGATTTTGAGTGAAAATAATTTCTTCTCAGGCTCTCAAAATTTCCTACACAGTTAACATATACACGAGTCTCCTAAAACACATGTTTTACTCTAAAAGGAAATGTGTCCGATTAAAACAACTAACACATTTAAAAGTAACAACCAGTCACTTCAAAATAATATTACTACCTAATCTAGAAGGCATCAGACAGGGTTGAAGAAATCAGTTGAAATTGTTTCCCAGAAACAACAAGAATCATTCTATATCTAGAAATAAACTATTTGTGTGCAGACAACAATGCCCCTTTTTTCTATGCAAAGGAAAACAATCTCATAATCTCACAATATCAAATATTTCTGTCTCAATAACACTATAATAAATTCTGAATTTCTATGGATAGTAGTGACTGTCCAGAAGATGACTCATATATACATATAATAGCAGTCAAATATGTGTAAATACACTGAAAAGCCAACAGACTTATCAAAGGATGCTAAGCTAAATGATGCAAAATGTTCAAGAATTCTACATTGTAGAAATTAACAAAAAAAACTACACTGTAGAAATTTACTGTAGAAAATGTTAAAAAATACTAAAATCAACATTCTAAAATGGGCTTTACGTTAAAATACAAATTTATGATGAAGTATGTTTGTATCTATAAGGATTTACTTAGAATCCTTCCTAATAAATGGAAACACAATATAACCAAATTTGTTTTTGTTGTTTATTCTTTTTTTTCTCTTTTTCTTTTTTTGTAATAAAGTAACTGTTCTGAAAAATATTATATCAAACAAGACGGTAGAAAGAAAACAAATTTTGTTGGGTAGACAGTTTTATTGGTGGTATGTCCTAACAAATTGCTGTATTTGTATTGTTACAATATTCTCTATCAGACCAACATGGGCAAGTCTGACAAAACAATGAATAACATTAATAAAATAGTTGAGATCTTTTTTCTTTAACACTACAGATTATACAATAGTTTATATTTATATTCAAATAAGTCCTTATTGATAGATCCCTACTCATCATAATTTTTTATTTGGATAACCATAGATTTAGCCACATCATTGACATGTACTTTTTTCTTAACAAATACCGGTATGTGTGTTGAAATTCTTACTGTATCCACTAATAAAAAAAAAAAAAAAAAAAATTATATATTTTAAATTAAACCCTATAGGAAATATTCGTATTTATTAATCCGATATCTATTGTGTCGTTTTTATATTTTGATGCTTTGTTTGGTGCACTTATCTCTTTTATCATGAATTGGAATTGTTCGTATTTGTTCGTTTTTCCGCTAAAGTGGGCGTGACGTTAATTGTAAAATTACGACGTCACGTCCGTTGATATTATTATTATTTATTTACCTTGAAAAAGGCATACATTTGCCGAAACGTTGGAAAAATAAAAAATGATATTATACGTGTTATTGCTGTGACTTTATTATTTTAATGTATCCACTAATCTGATAATTACAATTAGACAGGTCAGGGATCTTTGCATTGTATCTATCAAAGGTACTGCAATCTTTTGCTTACAATAAAATAACTCTTCATAACAGTAAGTGTTAATTTGACTTTGAATATTAATTCGATATACTTCAAAGGTAAACATTTGCTGATATTAATTCAATATATTTCAAAGGTAAACATTTGCTGATTTCAACACATTTTTGGTCATATCTTGAATATTATCTATGTAAAGGACTTTTCTGGATAACTAACCAGTGCAAGTGACTTAAGTGTCTGTAGTGAGGTCAGGGATAAAAGTGATCAGCCTGATCTGGAACATGAATTCTTACCTGTCTTTATAATGGGGAGAGGTTTAGGAAAGAGAAAGAAGATGGGGGAATAGTTGGGCTATAGCCACTACTATGTAATTAATAGCTAAGAAATAGTTTCAGTATAGGGATTTTTTGTTATATTTAAATAAGCTATATAATGAAACATTTTCATGAATACAAACCACTTGAAACATATAAAAGTGAAATGTTTATAACAGACACCTAACTTCTCCCCTGTAAATTAACAAGAATCTTGTCCAACCATTGAGGAGATCAATAAAGATTTCCATCAATCACTAGACAAGTGTATATAATGAATTCTCTCTTACTTTAATTAAATGTCACTAAGTGAAGGATTAAGTTACTTTTTTTACATTTCTGAAACAATTCCGTAAACAAACTTCATCTCTTGACATGAAGGAGAACAATCTAAGTTGCCTGGCATTTGCATGCTTCCTATGATTTATTTACTGCATTACCAGACACACTTAAGGGAAATTAATATATCTTCACACATTCCATATTCATTTCTCAATTTTACAGATACTTTCTTGGGCATAAACACTAGATACTTGAAAATGCTTGGCTACTTTCTGGGGATTTGGCTTGTAAGACAATATCAAGAAACAACACATACTGGCTTCAACTTCACCAGATTAAATGGGGTTTTTAACATGTATGTGTACTTTTTAAGTTTTAATTATATTTACTGCATCATCATTCATTAAATTTAGTCTGAATCTTGGACAGTTATGGCAAAAAAAGATTTATTAAGTCTATCAGTTGTAATGTAGATTAAATTTGAGTATAAATGTAAATACCTTTTAGACAGCTTTAACTTAAACCACATCTTACATACTGCACCATAAGTATCTGTATATTTAAACCACACTTCACCCTACCTGTATATAAAACTACAGCTTTACAATTCACTTCACCTACCTGTATAACTTCACTATCTCTTTCTGCAGTCCATCCTTTTCAAGATCTTTCAGACTATTAAGTTTCTTCTCAAAGTCAGCATCATATAGTGATGGACTCAAACTCTTCCTGTTCTTCAACTGAAATATTTAATCTTGCATTGCTCTATTTGTATAAAACACCTATCATGTTTTGGGTATAAAAAAGTCTAAAAAGTAGCACTGACTTGTACCCCCACCCCTTACCCCAAAACTAAGTAAGCAGCCTTGTTACCTGGCTTTATACTGGTGGGAAAGGTTTTGATTCCAGCATTGTAAAGATAAATAAACAAATTATACCAGTTTATACCATTCTACCATTCTTTGATTTCAGGGTTGAATTATTCGAAATATATATATACGATTAATAAACAAAACAGACAAAAGGAGAAATTGATAAAGTAATTCCATCATTTTTATCCTTTAAATGTATAAAATTAATTTTAAATTTTATCTTCAATTAGTTTATCATTTTCCTAATTATCATATTCAGAGAGATAATACATTTTTGTGTATTATATACAAATGTTCATTGCAGTTTAAATTCCTCATTTCTATTTAACAGGATTGCTGGAAAAAAATGCATATGCTTAATATGCAAATATTGATTCACAGAATTGAAACAACTTAATACCCTGACACAGTGTCATTGAAATAATGACAAAATGATTAATGTTTACCAGCTCTAGTGAATAATCCTGTAGGGAACCATTGGACACTTCAAAATCCCAGGCGGACATGTATGTAGGTAGGAGGACTGATCTCCTGTTGATGATGTTAACATCTGTTGACAGCTCAAGTTTCTCACAGAATGGTGATGGCAAAGTTTTATCTTCATTTAACTGAATAAAAAAGTTCTTTTATATATATTCATACGCATTTACAGCAATACTGTTTGTTGCCTCAGCAAGAATCTACTTTATCTATATACAAATATAGACATTTGTTTTCTAGTTTATCAGGTAGGCAACTATTACATGCTAGTAAAAAGAAGTTTAATACTAGAAACTTTTCAATTCTCAAGTCAAAGTCAAAAAACATTTTATTCTCTCATTCCATGTACATATTCTCCAGGAATAATTTTCCCAAATCTGAGATCCAATATTCATGATTTTATAGGACTTGTAAGAAGTTGATTTGAATAAAAAGTGAGCTACTATGTCCACAAGGGATTATGTTTCATGGCCCTATGCCTCTATGAAACCCTGTACTCATTCTCTCACTGATATAAATGACTTCATAATAACGTAAGTTCTAGCATAAGTATTCCCTTGCTGTAGAAGTTATCTAGCCTGCTAAAGTAAGACATTTTTATGAAGACAAGATAATTGTTCATAGTTAAGTAACCATATCGTCTGTATATCAATGCAATATTGTGATAACTTGTTGTAAGCGTTCAGTGAGATACAAGTGTACTGCATTGCTTCCTATGACTGACAATTCTGGACATTTACATCAGTAACAAATGACATGTATTCCATTTACAGTGAAATCTTCTCAAATGCTGGAGTTCAAGTGTTCTACCACTGTCTTTATTAGTGTATAACAAATCATATTATCTTGCTAAAATGAGGAACAAAATACTGTTTACGAGGACATGCAATAACCAAAGGAAAATACCAACAAAACTTCAACATTACTTTTATAGACACAGATGTAGATGTCCTGTTTATTATTCCATTATAAATTTACAACCGGCACTTTACAGATACACGAGATGTCAGTTTAGATTTATTACTTTAAGTAACTAACATCCAGTCATAACATCAATATGATACTGTCTCCAATAGTGTCTGGAGTAGTTTATGGTCATGACAAGAGCACCATGGAGGCGGGGCAGAATTTACCCATAGTCATATAATAATAATCTTTAACTGATGAAAAAAGAAATCTAAATATAATCTACTGTACAGAATTTCTTGATTTCATATATTAAAAGCACAAATCTGTCAAAAAGTAAGACATCTGTATCCAAATTCATAATTACTTAATAATATATTTACATCCCCTCAATCCACGTACCTGAAAAATCAGTACATTTCAAACAAGAGGAGTCGGTAGGACAGCAACGCTCGACTATTCTTACTGCTTGATAGTAAAAAAAAATGCTTGATACAGTTACCTCCTCCTGTTTACAGGTTGGGGTAATAATGGTGAACAAGTGTGCAAAGTTTCAAAGCCATATGTCAATGAACTTTGAAAATATTTGAGGTATTACAAAAACTTTAACGTAAATTCTAAGTCGAAAAAGGGGCATAATTCTGTCAAAATGCTTGATACAGTTACCTCCTCCTGTCTACAGGTTGGGGTCATGATGGTGAACAAGTGTGCAAAGTTTCAAAGCCATATGTCAACGGACTTTGAAAATATTTGAGGTATTACAAAAACTTTAACATAAGTGGTTACGCTGACGCCGACGCAGACGCCGACGCTCGGGTGACTGCAATAGCTCTACTTATTCTTATCGAATAGTCGAGCTAAAAATGATGCTGCAAAAATATTTTTTTTTCTTTAAGCAGAGCCAGAATCTTTATATTTGTCTCATATTTTTGCATAGTTAATATACACACTTACATGTATATATAGATAATGAATGAAATATGCCTTCACTCTTTCTATATGCTTCAAAACTTAACTTTTTCATTAAAAAATGTTCCTTGTAAGGACTCTCTTATTGAAATAACCACATTGTTTATTTTCATTAACTTTATGACAGATAGGGTTGGACACAGGTTCCCGGTATCGGTCCTATACCGAATAGTAACTTCGTAAATTACCGGTATATACCGTTTCGTAAAATACCGGTACTGGATTTGATACTTTTGTAATTTTGTATAAAAAATAATTTAATAGTCAATATGTCAAAAAAATAAGAAGATTATTAAATAAAAACAGCCTACAAACACGTAAAACAAACTATGAATTACTATTATCATGCGGCGAGTACGGCTTTCGCGGCAAAGTTGAAGTTTGTGATGCGGCGATATTTTTGTAAAAGTATTGTGCCGCTTATGTTCAAGATAATAATATTTTTTACTCGGCAGGAAAATATAATTATTTAAACTGATTTTGGTAAAAGTTTGTAAGTTTTAAATGTCAAAGAAACAACGAGAAAACAAATCGAATACTTGAGTAATCATCGGCACATCGCACACAGTCCTTCCAAACACATCGCACACAGCTTTTGCCATAATGACAATGTAAATCCAACATATTCAAACAATGCTTTTAAAAAACAATTAAATCCTTTTTTCAGTTTAAGTCTCTAAACACTCATAATGAATACATATTTAATGTTTCCAGGTTCTATTCATCCATTACCAGATGTACAAATCCACATGTGAATTACGATTTGAACATAAATGAGGCCGAAACATTCCAACAAAATATGCCTCCTTTTGTTTTTGGTGTAACACTGAACTATTATTAAACATGTATACATTTTCTTAACAAAATAATGCTGACAGAACTTTAATCAAAAAGTGTGAATGTCGGCGGCTCTTTGATGGTGATAGAGTAACAACATCAAAGGGAGGCATATTCTTTTGAATAGCCTATTATGCACCTGTCAAAGGTCAACTTGTGTGTATTACACATTTAGATCTGTGATACTTTTAAACAACTGAAACATATTTCATATAGTGTTTTGTAGGAATTTTTTGCAAATGTTGGCTAGTATTTTTGCATATTTGAGCAGTATGGAATTATGCAATTTGGTAAGGACAATACCTTTTTTTTCTTTAGCAAGATGTTCACGGTGCATACTATTGAAAAATAAAAGATGTATAAAATTGAAAGGTAAATTCAATATTAATAAATACCAAATCCTTATTATTTGTAAAGTGTAGGTATTTGCTTTATGACTTCTACAAGGACTAATATTAGGTTAACATGAAAATGTAAACAGGTCATTTTGGAAACAGTCTGTGCTGACTGTGCATATACATGTATTTCAAAATTTCTAAGTTAATTACTGGTGGAAAATATGTTTGTGCTGTTGTAGTAGAACAGACTGGAAACATAAATGACTTTGAAAAAACATCTTATGAAATTTCTTTCATGTAATTCCAAATTGCAAAGTGAGCCAACCAATCCAGTGATTTCATTTATTATAGTAAACAATAATGTGATTTAAAAAAGAATATCAGCATCAGAATAAAATTTCTACACAGTAATAATAATAGCTGTAAGAAAATAATAGATAACCAACTGTCTTAAATCCTTTCAGATGTAGAGATATCAAGCTTAAAACAATAATTTGTAGACTTCTCAGCTGCAGACTGCTGTCCTGCATAAGATATTTTGCTGTGTTTAAATTATGTCATGTCCTTTTGATGAAAAAGTAAAAGTATCTTACAATTAACATGTGTAAATGTTGTAAAAAAGAGTAAACACAAAACAACAAAAGAAAATTATACTTTACAGCATGAAAGGGCTAGGTTCACTTTGGGTGAAAAAATGCCCTGTTTCAGAAATTCATCAAAATTTCAGCAAAGATTAATATTTATGTGTTGAAAAAGAAACAAGAACAACTTAGGCATTTTTTCTATTTATTAGGTTACCATAGCAACCAAGTTAAATGCACCATTTTTTATATTTCTAACAAGTTAATTCCTTATAACATTGGCAAATAGCTAGATAACAGTCTCAAACACACAAACTTAACATCTCTCTAGATATAAAACAGATAATGTCAACATTTAAAAAAATGAACATTAAAAAAATAAATTTTCTACATAAATTTAATTAAAATTCCATGGCAACGTCACCAATTTTCACATATTGTGATTCTGCAACTAAAGTCACAGAATTTTACAAATACTTGCAATCTATATTTCTTTTATATGTAAGCCTCTACTACAGTGATAGTTCCAAGATTAAGAATGTGAATGTATTGTTTTCAGTGTTGCCATGGAAACATAAACTAGTTTCATTTTAAACAAAAAAGCTGTATGAAGAGACAGTTTGCATGTGTTACATTTTTAACATTTTGGGTGTTAATGAATTACGGTATACATTTAAATTTCAGAAGGTTTTTACTTTTATAGGGCATTGAAATTTTCTTGTTTCTATAGCAACACTGTTTGATTGGCTTTGGTGAGATGCATGTTTGAAGCAATTGAAAGATAAAGGGTACATAATGTTCTAAGAATTAGACAATAAAAGTAACTCAGTTAATATATAAATAAACCAGTAGCATTAATGAGCATTGATTAAGTATATTGGACAGATAAACATGATACATTGTAATTACAGTAAATAGTTTAAATGCTTCCAATGACAATTTAAATGATTTGAGCCGTGTCATGACAAAACCAACAAAGTGCGTTTGCGACCAGCATGGATCCAGACCAGCCTGCGCGTCGGCACAGTCTGATCAGGATCCATGCTGTTCGCTATCAGTTTCTCTATTTGTAATAGGGTTGGTAAGCGAACAGCATTGAACCTGATCAGACTGCGCGGGTGCGCAGGCTGGTCTGGATCCATGCTGGTCGCAAACCCATTATGTTCGTTTTGTCGTGAAACGGCTCATTTATACAGTACCGGTAAATTAATATCCTGCACTTTTATACAGATGTACAAGTTAAGATTAACATCACTGAAGCAATATAACATTATATATAATTACTTATATGTACATCAAAACATAAAATTAGAATTTACAGTATATATTAATTTACATTTATTTATCTATAAATATATAAGTCAGCATTACTGTATTTAAACCTGTCAGATCTGGCACAACTGGGTGACATATTGAATGGAATTAATGCTGACTTCATATCCCCTTATTTACTTAATGGTTAAAGTTTTAGTTCAATATTTACATATTCTAAGAGAGTATGACACGCTGATTGAAACAGGATAATATTAGTTACAAGAATGTCTGACAGGCTATGTACATAGTTCAATATAAACATTCATTGGATTATATAACATGAGCCGCTAGGGGTGGGTTATATTGCAAACAATCAATCATGCATGGCCATATAACCTGTTAGACATATTTATAAAATATATAACCAAGCAGAATCACTTTATTGAAAAAACTTTTGTTTGTACAGAATTTGAAAATAGAAACAATTGCATTTGGATATAACAATATATCAACCACTATATGAGAGGAAGCTATTCCTCAACTATACTTTCTTCTGAATCTGAAGAGTCTATTGATTCTGGATTAGCTGAAGCATCCTCCAAATACTCACCCAGTCTTTCACACCAAAGCTTGTTTCAGCTGTATGGACAGCCATGCCCAGGTACCATATGACTGCAGCAACATGAGAGCAAGTACCAACTGTCCTAGCCCCAGCCCTACATTTGCAATACCATGCAATTACATGGTCTTCATCATATTTTAACCACACAAGATATGATTTTGATGCTATATGGCGGCTCTGAAGTCTAACTCTTAGAAGGCCAGGAATTTCCTTGTGCAAGTGAAAGTCACAAGTACCACTAATATACTCCTGTACATAGCTTGAGCTCAGTTTTTAACTGGTAAGTACCAAGAGTTAAAATTCTCAATATAGTTTCTGACAGTTTTGGAAAATCTGTCAATGATTCAGTAGTTGTCCAATGGGCTACACTTCTCCTAGCAAGATCATGTTCTTCCACAAAATCTTGAAGACAAAGATTGCCTGACAATCTATCCCGCATCTGGCTTGCTAAAGTTGAGTCAAGTTCTTGGGTTTGGTTGATAGGTGGCAGGTACTTATTACATAAAGCACAAATTATGCTTACATAATCACCTATGTATGGCACTTGGTTTGTTGGAAGAACATGTGAAAGATACTTCCACCTTTTGATCCTTGCATTTGCAGCCTCTACCACCCATCTCACCTGAAGCACAATTAAATATAATTACAAAACATGTGTAATAATACAGTTAGAATATCCAATTTAAGATGTATAGTACAATGTACAAGTAAAGGATTGAATAAAAGTTGAATTCTGATAACCAAGAAATATTTTTCATTATTACATTATACTTGTTACATAATGAAATATTAAATAACTCTAGCCATGTTATATTACTTCTCAATTATGTCCCCTTCACCAGAATGTGACCTACTGTTACAATTTCAAAGAATTTGAGGGTCACCTGAGGTAAGTATTCTATAATCAGTAGTCTGAGAAGTGTTTCTGGTTTGTTTTTCTTTTGATTTTAATTAATAAACTAATTAATCTTAGGAAAAATAATTGAAGATTAAAGTTTTTTATGTTCTTATTATAATTAACTTAATTAATCAGGCAATATTTCTGTGATTAAATAAAAGAAAGAATAATTACTATGAACATTTGTATGCTAATCTTGCAGTAAACTATCTACATTATATTGAATAAAATACAGTATTACAGTACATCATATTTAATGAGAGATAAGGTATCAAGAAGAAATATGATAATCTACAGAACAGTCTGGTCAACAATAGATGTTAAATGCATTTTAATTAAATTGGTTTTATTTAAAATAAAAATATTTTATAATCCTAAATGTTTAATTATGAAATGACCAGCTGAAAATGTTCAATATTATCAAAATACATCCAATAATATATGTATTAAGTGAATGATATGCTGTTAAAATGAAAAGTTGATAAAGTATACATGAAAATATATGAACTTATATTAAGTTGATAATATTATGCAATGTAATTTATCTTCTTTTACTTTAGAAATGTTTCAATATTTCATATATAAGAATTGAACATAAAATAATTTTCAATTAAAAGCTGTGCATTTAAATCTGAAATTGATAATAATAATTTACTATATATGTAGTTGATTATTTAAATTATTACCTTTGTTACAAACCTACTGGCATTTGCATCATCTGTTGTCATCTGTTTTTCTGTTCTTTTCATAAAGGCAGGCATTTCTGCTTGTATCCCTAGTTCCTTCATTAATTCAATAGCATCCCTAAAACCACGGTCTACTACAAAAATGTCACTGGGGTCAATCCATGATTTGATTTCTTGTATGTTGTTGTTTAAAATATGTTTTAGAATGGATGCATCATTGTTTTTTGAGTCAGCAAAAATATGGCCCTAAAACACTCACAAAAGTAACCAGTGGTAGAGACAATTATCATAGGTTTAACTAATGGTCTGTGCTTGTGCATACTAAAGCTTCTCCTTTGGAATTGAAAGTTGTTGCTTTTGTTAATGTAAATATATGTTCCATCAAGAACTAGAATTGCCTGGTCATTGCTTTCAGCTAGAAGGTCTTGTGCTAATTTTTCTGGTGTGTTTTTGAATGATTTCTTCTCTAGTAACATGTTCAAATCCAAGATGGGCTGGAACAATGATATCACAAAGAGCTTGTCTAGCTGAGTGAATTGCTCTTCTTATACTTGATTTTGTTATATTGAATATTGTTGATAATATTTTGTTTGAAAGTCCACATTTCATTTTAAAGAGGAAAATACCAAGTGTTGTTATGGAGGTTCTTGCTGGAGTGTTTTTTATTGAAGATTCAACATGTTGGTATAAATCAAGAAATTGTTCTTTGTTTAGGCCTGTTAAGTTGATTAAATCTTCATCTGTATAGGTATGCATACTGTCAAATGACATTCTCTTGTTTGAAGATTTTAAGGCAATTTCTCTTGTTTTATTGATGAATTCAGTAATAGTAGTTCTGTTCAAAAATGATTGTTCTTTTGTTTTCATGTTCACTAGTTCTTCTTTATTAAATTCGTTTAAGTTGTGATTGAAATGAGAAGTACAAAACTTCTGCTTTCAGCTGTGATAATAATTCCATGTTCAATGAATACTGAATATCTTATATTTTGCTGGTACAACTATGATTTTGGGACCTGGCTTTTTACAAATAAAACAGTAGGAATGGCTTTTGGATGTAGATTTAATGGGAAGCTGAATGGATGGTGGACTTTTACAGGCTGTAGATGTTGTTGCTGTTGCTGTCTGATTTTCAGTAGATTTTCTTGATGTGTCTGAAACAGATGACTTTGGCTGTGCACTAGAAAACTGGATACACTTTTTTTGCTGCAAACCTCCACAAATAAAAATCCAAATTGGTTGTTTGCATCAAATAGAATTTTTCCGTAAATATTTAGCTATATTTTTGTTGACAGGTCTTCTTTGATGCAGTTTTAGCTTTTTTCTGCACAGCACACATATCTTTTGAGGCATCCTAGAAAAAAAGATGAATCATAAAAATATGCCTTATATTTTATTAATTTATTAAAGTTAATTATCACTGCAGAGTATCTTAAATTAATCCTATATCATTTTGTGTTTTCCAGTCTTAAACTGAACAAACTTTTTGCACCATACCAGTATATGTGATAAGTCTATCTTTTAACAATCATTTTTTTTTATATTTATCACATCTTTTTAATATTATAAAAAAAAAAACACTTAAAATTCAAAGAAAATAAAACAAATGAGTAAGACATTATCTAAAGAAAGTTGTTGAAAAAAAAAAAAGAAAAAAAAAAAAAAGGTAGCAACCTGGTTTGAACTCCGGCCTATCGGGTGACAGCCACCGATTACATCCACTAGGCTATAGAGTACCTTGACTTTACCATCTGCAAAAACAAATATTAATACACTTAAAAAAAACATTATCACTCTGTTGCTCCTTTTAAAAACGATACTTTAAGGCTCTTTTCTGTAAAACTTTTAATATTTCAATTCATTACCAAATATTTTGATTTCACTATTGATTTATCACTGTTCTTCTATAATTTTTAAAAGTTGACATGTTGACGTCTGCGTCCGTAACAACACAAAATGACAGGTCGAAATAAACATTTTGATTCGATACAGAAATTGAATTTAAAAGTATTATCGTCACAAAATATAATTATACAAACGTTTTTACCTTTCGTTTCCAGTTTTGGCACCTACATCGCTGAAAAGTCGTTGGAAAAACGATCAGAGAGGAAAAACAATAGCAGTCTACTTTCAGTTTCAGATTCAATGTCGAGTTAATTCCCTTGAATACAGGAAGCGGTCAATTCTCGAACCAAAAGTTGGCGTTCGTACGCATTTTTCTGTTTCTTACGAGAAGCGGGTTAAAACATAAATGTAATGTGCTATATTGTCTTTAGTATTTTATTTATTAGCAAGACATAAACAAATGTTTTCCACAAACGGATACCATTTTTTTCTGATCAACCACGTATTCGGGCAGGACAAGTTCGGATAATGATTAGAAATAAAAACACGTAAAATATGTTATAAATCAGTTGCTGTCTAAGTTTATATAATTTTATTAAAAGGTCTACATGAGTAATTAGTTTAGATAAAGATTTTTAAAGCAAACATATTGTTTTCATGCCAAATATCATGGGAATTATCAGCTAAGACCGAATTTCCATAGCAAAGCAAATGTCGGGAAAACATTATTTTTAGATATGAAGAGCCAAACCCGACACCACCATATTTCGGCCACAGCTTTAGTATATATTTAGTATCATTACCTGGAAAAGGACTTTTGTGTCGCTTGTGGCTCTTCATATGTTATTTTAAGAAAAATACGACAGCGAACGTTCTGAATTTCGCTATTTTGACAATTATGCATGGTTAATAAGTTGTGTTTTCTAGACATTAAAATACGATTTACCGTGATATTTTGTGATTTTTTGTTAGAATATAGGCCATTTCTTTTAAAATATGTAGGATGTTGTTTATATTTTCATGGTTTTTGCATTTGTTAAAATTACTGGGCTAAAAAGCCCCTGTTTGTGAAACCTTGTCCTTTCAGAAAGACCAGTAATGTAACATATTTATTTTCTTGCAGTTTCAGTTCTTATACTTGCAGCAAAGGGTTTGGTATTGTAAAAGTATCAGTATCAGTATCGATAAAATACCCGTATCGTTTCGTCAGTACCGGTATCGGACCGTTTCGTGAAGAACGATATCAAACCCTAATGACAGACACATTAAAGTTATTATTTTCTGACAGGCTTATTGTCTTGTAATAAATTAACTGACAATCACTTTCTGAAAACTTGTATTCTGATTGAAAATATGACAGTTAGAAAAAAACTAAGAGGTGGAAATCATACAAAAACAAAATTTGAAAACATAAAATAATAGAGGCACTACTGTTGAGTTGTTCATATTAATGGACTTAAAAATGCTAATTTAAGAAGCCAATTTATCAGGAAATATAAAAATTGATAAATTGAAATGAATTGTTTTATAAAAACAAAGTAGTATTTACCCTATCTTTAAGTTCCATACATATTGAATGTCTAGCTAGAGGTGTGCTAAATCTTAATTTAGGTGAAACCTTTGATCTTTCACCAGCACTATTGTTTCCTGTTAAAGACTCATCTGATAAACCCTGCTGCTCTTCATTATTCTGATACCTAAAATATAATTACAATAATAACATAGCTCTGTCAATTAAACTTAAAACAAGAGCTACCAGTATGACAGAACCCTTGACTATTAGTAAAGCTGGAGAATGTAGGCATTCAAAGGGAAAGCTTCATTTGAAATCCATTCAAGTTTTGGATGTTGACGAATATTCAGGATCCTGAGTTCAAAGGTAAAGATTTAATAGAATACTTCTTTAAGTTTAAGCAGACTTATGCAGAATCATGGGTGTAGGAAATTTGAAGTGAATACATTCAGTAGTGGTGAAAAGTGATATTGAACACAAAACTTTAACCATCAAAAAGGGCTATTCAGTCAAAATGCATGCTACAGTTATGGGCCTTGGATAGTGACCTCTAATTATGACCTCAAAGATGTGTAGTTTCAAAAGTATTTATACAAATAGTTAAAAGATAAAAATAATTCTATTCCTAAACAGAGTGTCATGATGGCCCTAGATTGCTCACCTGAGATCAACTACTAAAATGGTCATAATTCTTTAATTTAGAAGGTCAAGGAGTCACAATTGGTTTGAGACATTTTCTAAATGGGAGTATAATCCATATAACTTAATAAGATGTCCACTAGGCAATGCTACATGCTAAATACTTTTGCTCTAGGCCATCTATTTTCACATAAGAATAATTATTTTAATGTGTTTTCCTTTATGAGTCTAAGTAAACCTAAGTAATTCCTAGGGCAGGAATGGGCCAATTTTGACCCAAGGTAAATGATTTCAGAATTTTATTTGAAGAAATCAGCAAAGTCTAGATACATGCCAAATTCTAGTATCTGAACTCTGGGCAAAGCAGCTTCTTGGGAGGATTTTAACACTACCACACTATATAACTTAAATGGACCTTCCTATCTTTTACCCATCCTTTTTGGGGAAAATTTCAAAATATGTATTGACATAAATGCATACAGAGCAGATTATGATCAGATGGCATGGATGTGGTAGCTGATCTTGGTCTGCACCGGTTACATGGGTAGAATCAGTTTCCGCAAGTAGGTATTTTCTATGAAAGATTGATACAGAGGGAGGGCACTTTTTGATCCAAGGGGCATGACTTATTACATTTTTCAGAATTCAACTAAGCTATTCTAGATGTTTCAATATTTTTCCTCTTGGATATTTAGTATCAGAGATGATATCAAACCATTTTACTAACACTGTAGAGGTAATTAGGAAATGCTTTTTGCAAAATTTATATCAGGCCACTGTAGTTTCTCACAGATAGGCATAGCAAATTCTAACCTTGAGCCATGATTTATAAAACATTTTGAAAAGTACCAAAGGTTGATGCTTGATGGTACCATTTATGTAATTTTTGTAGAGGACCACACAAGGATCAATTCCTGTGAAGTTTGGTCAAAATCTACCATATGGTTTAGAAAAAGATGTTGTGGCTAATGACAAACATCATCAAGGTCACCTCTGAGGTGAGCTAAAAAGTAAATCTCCAAGAAATGTTTTACTTTTACAAAAACATGACAATTTCTGATTTCTAAAGACAAACTTTTGTTATTTCATTAACATTTTATTGTAGACTGAAGGCCAATGACACCTGAGAACAATAATACTCCTCAGACAGATTGTGTAACCTGACATCACACCACATACCTCTGTAATTTCCCATTAATCTGTGCCAGTTTTACTTGAACATCTTCTTTTTCTTCTTGTAACTTCTGTTAAGGAAACAATATACAATCAATCTATTTCAAATAATGAATAAACATGTGCCTTTCTATATTTAAACTAGAAATATGTCCATAGGACACAGGTGCACCCACACTCCACTGTTTTGCCAATCTTTTGACTCTAGGTCAAATTACATTTTGTGCTACATGTGCCACAAGTTGAAAACTAAAAATCTTTTACTAAGTAAAGGGCAAACTTCACAAATACTGTTTAAATCCACAAGCAAACCACAAGGTGTATAAGTACACATGCTGACCAACATTCTTGTAAACTTTCAGGCCTACAGGTCAAATATTTTTTGAGCTATGCATGGACAAGTTGAAAATTGCAAATTTTTACTAAGTCAAGGGGAATAACTCTACATATACTGAATAAATCCACACACTAAATACTCAGGTGCACAACTACACTTGCTGAGCAACAGTCCTGTAAAGTTTCATGACTCAGGTCAAATACTTTGAGCTATGTGCGACACAAAATGAGAATGGACAGACGGACAATGATGGTAAATCTAAATGACCCTCCCTCTATAGTGGGGGCACAAAAATATGTAATTACAAGTATAAAAATCACTTCAAAATTCTATATGGTCCTTTCTCACTTTTAAACATCAGTTGAATCAATCTTGCCATATGAGTATGCCAGTAAGAATTTGATTTCACAAGATTTAACCATAATTATCATATAAATCAATAAATAGGAAAACTATACCTCATTCTGCTCCATTAACTGCTTAAACTTTTCTTTTAATGTATTTAATTCCACATCTCTCTGAAAACATCAAACAATACATCGTAATCATTACCATTTAAATCAATCAAAATTTAAATTTTAACCATTTTATATACTACCAGTCTATTATGAACATGTCCTAAATACTAGCCCATGTCCATGTTGTCTATAAATAAACTTGACTTTAATACTAGCCGGCATATATGGTAATCTGTTCTATATATCTACATACTGCTGCAGTAATTGTGTTGACCTGTGCATAATTAATTTAAATTCTAGCTCCCATCTTCTATCAATACAAGAATAACTCTGTTATCAAATGGGAGACCAATATGACCTATATTTATCAACATATGACCACATCAGAAATTTAAACAGACAACATTTAAATATCTTAATATCTTTTTTAATACTTACTATCTTTTAAGCAAATACTTAATTAAAATAATCTCTATTATGAGGACATAGTATAAGTACATTTTGTTTAAAAAGCATCATAAAAACATCCATTTAGAGAACATCTTAAAAACTGCTTGAACAGGCTGTTTAAATATCATAATTTCTAATAAAGGAATATCATACATACCTGTATAAAGAGTATGTCAAAATTAATTCTAATAATCTAGTCATATTTATACTACATGAAGACCTAATTACCTCAAATAAGCAATCATATTTATACTATATGAAGACGTAATTACCTCTAATAATCTAGTCATATTTATACTATATGAAGACATAATTACCTCTAATAATCTAGTCATATTTATACTATATGAAGACGTAATTACCTCTAATAATCTAGTCATATTTATACTATATGAAGACATAATTACCTCTAATAATCTAGTCATATTTATACTATATGAAGACGTAATTACCTCTAATAATCTAGTCATATTTATACTATATGAAGAACATGAAAGACGTATAATTACCGTCTATATAATCTAGTCATAAATTTATCCATAGATGAAGACATAATTACCTTCTAATAATTCTAGTCCCATTTTACTACATAGTAAACGTAATTACCTCCAATAAAATCTAGTCAATTTAAATACTAAATATTTAAAACGTAATTACCTTCTTAATAATCTTTAGTCCATATTTATAAACTATATGAAGAACGCAAATTACCTCTAATAATCAGTCCCATATTTTATACTATATGGGAAGACGTAAATTACCGCTAATAATCTAGTCCAATATTTATATCTTATATATAAACATAATTACCCTTCTAATAACTTAGTCATAATTTATACTAATGAAGTACGTTTAATTTACCTCTAATCAACTAGTCATATTTATACCTATAGATGAAAACGTAATTTACTCTAAAAATCTAGTGCATATTTTATAAACTATAGAAACGTAAAATTAAACGCTCTAATAAATCTAGTCTTAAAAGTAAAACCCTTAATAAACCCCAATAAATTAAATCATAATTTATACTTATGAAAAACGTAATTAAACCCCTAATAATCTAGTCTTATTTTTAAAACTAAAATTTTAAACATAAAACCCCCTAAAAAATCTAGTCATATTTAAAACCCATATGAAGGGCTAATTAACCCTCTAATAACAGTCAATTTTTTAAATTTTTGAAAACTAATTAAAACCTTTTAATAAATTTAGTCAAAATTTTTCTTTTAAAGAAGACCCCTAAAACCTCAAATAATCTATTTATTTTATATTTTTGAAAAACCCAAATTCCTCTAATTAAAACTAGTCCCTTATTTATACTATAAAGAAAAAACGTAATTACCTTTTAATTTAAACTAGTCCCCTATTTTTTCATATGAAGACATAATTAAAACCTTTTAATTAATTTATTTATTTATACTATATGAAACGTAAATTTCCTTTAATAATCTTTTCCCCAATTTTTTAAATATAGAAGCGGGAATTTTCCTCTAATAATTTTAGTCCTTTTTTAAAAACTATTGGGAAATTAAATTTCCTCAAAAATTTTAGTCCCTATTTAAAATATATGAAAGGAAAGTAAAATTTCCTCTAATAATCTAGTCATTTTTTAACTTTTATGAAGACGTAATTCCCCCTAATAACTAAGTCCCTTTTATACTATAAAGAAGACATAAATTTTCCCCTAATAATCCCCAGTCTATTTATACTATAAAGAAAAACATAATTCCTTTTATTTAACTGTTTCCAAAAATTTTACTAAAATAAAACAAAAATTACCTCTTTAAAACCCAGGGCCATTTTTATCTAATGAAGACATAAAATTTCCTTTTAATAAACAGTAATTTTAACTAATGAAAAACCCTTAAATTTTCCTCTTATAATCTAGTCATATTTATACTATATAAACTAATTACCTCTTATAACTATCTAAATTTTTACTATAATGAAGAGGGAATTACCTCTAATAATCTATCCCTATTTAAAACTAAAATGAAGGGCTAATTTTCCCCTTTATAAATTTTAGTCTATTTTATATAATGAAGACATAATTTCCCCCTAAAAACTAGTAATTTTTTTACTAAATGAAGAAGTAATTAAACCCCAATAATCCCAGTCCCTATTCAAAATAAAATGAAGAAAGTAATTAACCCCTAAAAATCTTTTATTAAATTTAAAAACATAATTACCTTTTGTAAGGCTTTACTTATTTTCCTTGGCTTCTTGAGCCTTTAAAAAAACAATTTCCCGGGGAACCAAAGAAAAAATCCCCATCCCTTTTACCCGGGGTTTTTTGTATACTTAATGCCCAAAATTTTTAAAAAAAATATACCCCCCTAAAAAAATTTAAAACCCAAAAAATCCCTATACATTTGTTAAAAGGCTTTGTACTTTAATTCCCCATTACACTTTAAAAAACACCTTAAAAAAAAGAAAATTCAGACAAAACCTTTTTAAATTACATTGTTTTTCCTTTCACAACAAAATGGTTCCAAATTCCAAACAAGGGGTTTATTTCATTTTACAATGTTTTTTTTTTCATTTCTTACCCTTTTCTTGCTACAAAACAAAACAATAAAAAAACCCAAAACCCTTGGGTTCTTCCCTTTTTTTTTAAAACACCAAGATAGACAAAATCTTTTTGTTTTTATAAATTTTATTTTTCACTTTGTTCAAATATCATATGATGTTTAAAAAAACCAAAAGGGGTTTAATATGTATTCCTGGGATGTATGAAAGGGCAATTTTTAAAAAATTCTTTGTATCATTTGAATATAACAAAACACATAAAACATTTTTATGTTTCAAATTCAAAAAAGTTAAAGGGGACTACCTATTTCAATTTGTAAAATTTTTATCAGATGAAATAAAACATAATTTTTTGGGTAATTTAAAAACATTATTTTTGAGATAATTTTAAACAGAAAATTTAATGATTACCCCCTTTTCCAGGCAGTAGGGATTGCTTGTTTCAGTTCTTTCCCATTTTTCCCCAATTTTAAAACAAGTTCTCTGCCCCTGGAAATAAAAATAAAATACCCAAAATTTTCCCCAATTTTTTTTAACCCCCCAGACAAAAATATTCCCCTATTTAACTGTAAACAATGTCTTTAATTTCCCCCTAAGATTAAACCTTCCCTTTCCCAAAAATTAAATTTTAATATTATTGCCCCTTTAAAAAAGATTTTTAAAAAGGGGGAACTTTTTAAAGGTTTTAATTAAACAACAATTAAAATTGAAAAAAACCCTGAAAATCCCAAATTTCCCCTTGTTTAAGGGTTTTTAGAAAAACAAATTTAAAAAACCAATATAAATTTTTCATTGGGTTCCCCTTTATAATATAGGGTTTGGGTTTTTGGGATTTTTTTTACTTTAATTTTGTTTAAAAATGATAAGATTTTTCTAATTATGGGTTTAAAAAAATAAAAATGTTTGTTTTTTAAATCCATTAAAAATTATTTCCCCAGCATTTTAAAAAAATTTTACAAGACCAATGCCCCCCTAAACACATAAATTTTGGTTTCAAAAACCTTTTTTACAATTTTAAAAAGTTTCAATTTTCTGAAGTTATTTAAAAATTGGTGTTTTTTTTTTATTTTTTTTTATCCCCCTTTTTGGGTTTCTTTTTAATAAAAGTGCCCGATATTGTCATGTGTACTTAAAGTCCAAGTTAGTTGTAGTCAACTCAAGACTACAAAATTTGGAATAAATGCTTTTTATCAAAATTCAATGAATGAATTTAATTTAATGTTTTTATGACTATTATATTTTGAACATCCAATCTACCCCTACTGATAATTCAACTTTAATTTAGCTATGACTTGACAGTGCCACTTTTTCATAGAGTTAAAATAGCCTCTTTTTGGACAGGTCCATTAGTGTTAAAATTTTGGATATGAAAATAAACAATATTATGTGAAGGTATAATTTCAGATATTAACATGTGTGATCTTCTTAACCTAAAATATTCTTTCATATAACAAAAACAGAAATCGAATATCAAAATATGTAAGTCATTCTACTTAAATTCTTAATCTTTTTTTTTAAGGTTTTCAATTCCTATCTTATTTTTTGTTACAAAAACTCACAACTTTTTGTATGAGCCCAACATCTAGTTATTGATATACAAGCACATGTACATTAGTAATATAACTTCTGTATTTTTTTCTCAGAATTCCTTTGAAATTTTCAACTCAAAACAGGGTTACTACGACATATAAATTTAGTAAGGTAATAGGCTACAAGGGTTATGATCAAATGAGGCCTAGCAGAAAATTGTGTAAGTCGTGAATTATGTCCTAATCCAGGTTTACAATAAATTATGGCACAGTATAGATAAACAGTGGAGAGTAAATTTGAACATATTTAAACCGAGGTGTCCCAAACAAACACTTTAAGTATGACTTCTACTTATATAAGTAGATTTACTGCCCTGGTCAGGTCAAATTAAACAATTAAATGAAGGTTTATAATCTGTTATATTTGGTCTGGTTAATGTAACTGGACATAATGTATATACACCCTTAAACTTCAACTTCATTCAAGCCCAGAGAATATTATGTTGGGAAAAGATTTCCCATTCTTTTAAAACACTCAATTTCACAAAAAGACGACTTTACTACATTAGGTATAGTATACTATTAATTTCAAACCAAATAATTATATAACAATATGATTTGTTGGGAAAAAAATCTTGCTACTGCAGATCTATTATTTTTCAACACAATCACTCTCAATGTCTAACTTTTGCAAGTGATATTAAAAGGCTTCAATGCCAAATCAAAATCTTTTTCAACTTTAGGTATAGTGAGTCTGTTTGGGAGATAGGGACATAACAGGGTGTTGTTATAATCCTTCAATATACTGGTCAAAATACATCAATCTGCATTTGTCAGATCATCATAATTTACAATATAATATAATACAGCTTGCTAAATGATAAACATCATTCTCTAGGGCTCAATTGTGTTATCTAAAATTAAAATTGCACTGAAATTTCATCAGTGCATGATATTGATTATTGATTGATTTAAGTAATACTGGATAAATGTGTCTATTTTTAATGATTTGATGCTTGTAATTTGTCATGTGAAATTATTTTATCATACATTATTATTATTAATTTTTTTGAGGTGTGTGTGTGTGGGGGGGGGGGGGGGGGGTGGGGTGGGGCTGGAGGGGTCAGGTTGATACTAAGTCTTCAATAGCAGTTCAGTAAATACTGGCAGACAGAATTTTAATAATAGACATAGCCTGTCCAGATCTACGTGGATATAAATAATAGATCAAATTTTGAAAATCTATTGATACTTCTCCACTGCAATATACAACTTACAAGAGAGACAAATAATCTTCAGCTTTAATTTCATATATGCTTGAGTTATCACACATTAAGATATAAAATATTTAAGAAAACATGAATCAGGAAAACATCACTGATTTTAAAAGAGAAAGTTTATATCATAAATATTTTCTATGAACAAATCTTCATCAAAATTTGGCATGTATACACTTGAATTAAGTAATCATGTAGTGTAATCTTAGATACAATTTTCAGACTTCAAATACTTGAAACATCAATATGAAGAACTTTGCTGAATATTTGCTGCACCTGATCTTAGCATCTATATTCACTTTTTTGAAAGATAATTTCCTTTCACCTTAACTTTTTTTTTATTTTAGTATATGAGATTAAGATAGTTCATAATGTTTCAGTCTTAGAATAAAAGACTGATAGGTCTATATTTTACACTTGGATTTTTTTTTATATTTTAAATGATAATGCACACCAGAAAGTGGAATCTTTATAAAAGGTCATAAACATTATAATTATATGCATAGAAAGTTGAGATGGTTGGAGAGAAATTTCACAATTTTTAGCAATTCTTAAGATTAAATAAATCGGGAATTTTAAACACTATTGCTAATTGGGCACGCCCTATATTTGGCATCTTTTTTATGCAAAACAATAGTAACTGCAAATTTTTCACAGAATCGTCTTTGCAAATAAACATAATGTAATTATCCTATGGGAATTTTATATAATTTTGACACAGGAAAACTACTCACCTTACTTTCATAGTTCCTGACCTGGCTTTCTAAATTGACATTTTCTCTTTCTAAGGTAAGCACTTTAGTGTCCAAATCTCTTTTTAATTCCTGGGTACTCAATAATTTTGATTTTAGTTGTTCATTTTCATCCAATACACCTTGCCTTAATTCTACAATATCTTGAAGGCTGCAAACAAATAAAAAATTTCATACTATGCAACTTTTTTTCTGTGTAACTTACTTGTTACAAATTTCTTTATTCTAATCTTATAAAAATTACTGAAAAATGTACAAATAGCTGTAACTCCTGAGGTACATAACTCAATGGCCAAAAAATATACAGCTTGACCCCATGACTGAAGAAAAAATAAATTATCCTTGATAATCTTAAATGATTTTTAATGTTTTGTTAGACATTTTTAAAACAAATGAGGTGGCATTGAACAAATAAAGACATGTCATTACCTTAGTGCAGTAATGGGTTAACTCCTTATATAATTTAATAGGAGTTAATCCATTACTGTACTAAGGTGATGCTGTATTACTAACCTCTTATACTGTCCAAAAAATAAAGACATGATATGATCCTAAGATTCTTGCCATTCTATCACTTGTTAATTACAAAAAACTTGTTCAATTGTTATTCTGTAATCACTGTTATTACTGCTGCCTAAATAAACCAGGTAAGATGATACAAGAAAGAAGTAATATAAGATTTTACACTGCTATTTGTCATTTGCTACAGTTCTATGATTCCATCTTTCACAGGTGACTCTTAAACTGAAGGTTAGTGAAATCATATCACTCAGTAAAAATTCTCATTACATTGTTCTTATAATAGTAAAAGCTACATTAAAGTTGATGGAAATACGACTGGTAAAAAATGGTATATTTTCACCTTTTAATTTTTTTCCTCAGTTGTTCTTCATCTTTATTTCTATTTTGCAGCTCTGTAGTTAGGTTGGTAGTGACTTCTTCCTGGGCATCTAATTGGTTACGTAACTGTATCTGTTCTTCACACAACTTGCGATTCTGAAACTTTAAATCCTCCATCTCTTGTAGCAACTCCCCTAGGTCACTGAATAAAAAATAATGAATTTAATCTCAGAAACATTAAAAGTTAACTGTTGATAAAAAAAATCTGATTTCTATATCTAAAAACAATAGAAGTAGAGATCATTAAAATATCCCACTAAATATAATGGATTATTCAATAATTTAAATTGTTTATACAAAAAGATCTATGAAATCAATGGTACTTAAGGAAGAAGTTAATATAATAAAACTGAGAAATGTCAAAAGAAATATACTTGCATCAACGATCTTCAATATTTGTGCATAGCCTTATCAGAACAAAAGAGAAAATATTGTACTAGAGATAGAAAAGTTATATTTTCTACATGTGACAATAAAGAATTTTTCACATTGTTTAGAAAATAGCATCTTTCCATGCAAGTACACTTCCCTTTGGTATAAGGAGATATGCTCCACTGTTATAACAGAAAATGATTAATCATGTCACCTTAGTGCAATAATGTAATAAGTGTTTCTAAATTTAATAGCATTAATCAGTTATTGCACTAAGGTAATTTATACATTTTTTTTTTTTAATTATTTTTATAGGACAAATCTCTGACGAAATTTCTACCATAAGATAATATGTTACCAAATTAATGTTTATTCAAGCATAAGAAACTTACTCTTCAGTCTTATGAAAGGATCCATCCCCAATACCTGATGTCTCTATACATAATGACCTGTCTAAAAATAGAAATATTCAGTTAAAAATATTGACCTATAACATATAATCACTGGTTCTAGTGAATTGAGATAAAAATGTAATAATAATGCCATTTGGAAAAATGTTACAGGAGTAATGCTTGGGGCATTTAAACAAAGTGTATATAGTTTAGATTATACAAATTTATTTTAGTTTGATTGTGTTGGAAGTAGGGGTGTGGATCGTCAGATAAGTGACGATCCGATCCGAACCACGATTCAGCGCTTAGGGTTCACAAATCGAACCACAAATCTTTTGTTATTAAGACATCCATAAAAACATGTACATTAGTTATATAAACATGTTTATTAAAAAAAAACAATACTAAACATTAAACATATAAAATATAAACTAGATTTATGTTTTTATTATTTGGATGAGTATTTTTGTTTTGTTTTTTGAAACCGATTACTGCCTAGCTCAGCATCATGGTACATGGTCTTTAACCGGCAAATTGTATGTAGGTAAACTTCATATAATTTATACTCAAATCGTATTTTTCTCAATTTTAACAGTGTGAGAAACAGTGAAGGTATCTAAAACAAGAGCTGTCGGTAGGACAGCATGCTCGACTATTCTTAGTGCTTGATAGAAAAATGCCTGATACAGTTACCTCCTCCTGTTTACAGGTTGGGGTCATGATGGTGAACAAGTGTGCAAAGTTTCAAAGCCATATGTCAATGGACTTTGAAAATATTTGAACTATTACAAAAACTTTCACGTAAATTCTAAGTCGAAAAAGGGGCATAATTCTGTCAAAATGCTTGATAGAGTTACCTCCTCCTGTTTACAGGTTGGGGTCATGATGTTGAACAAGTGTGCAAAGTTTCAAAGCCATATGTCAATGGACTTTGAAAATATTTGAACTATTACAAAAACTTTAACGTAAATTCTAAGTCGAAAAAGGGGCATAATTCTGTCAAAATGCTTGATAGAGTTACCTCCTCCTGTCTACAGGTTGGGGTCATGATGGTGAACAAGTGTGCAAAGTTTCAAAGCCATATGTCAATGGACTTTGAAAATATTTGAACTATTAAAAAAACTTTAACGTAAATTCTAAGTCGAAAAAGGGGCATAATTCTGTCAAAATACTTGATAGAGTTACCTCCTCCTGTCTACAGGTTGGGGTCATGATGGTGAACAAGTGTGCAAAGTTTCAAAGCCATATGTCAATGGACTTTGAAAATATTTGAACTATTACAAAAACTTTAACGTAAATTCTAAGTCGAAAAAGGGGCATAATTCTGTCAAAATGCTTGATAGAGTTACCTCCTCCTGTCTACAGGTTGGGGTCATGATGGTGAACAAGTGTGCAAAGTTTCAAAGCCATATGTCAATGGACTTTGAAAATATTTGAACTATTACAAAAACTTTAACATAAGTGGTTACGGCCGACGCCGACGCTCGGGTGACTGCAATAGCTCTACTTATTCTTATCGAATAGTCGAGCTAAAAATTACATCATGATCCACGATCTCTGGGCTTACGATTATTCAAACTTGATTTTTCACTTTGATTTGTGATTATCCGAGTACTCAGATACTCGCTCCAGCCCTAGTTAGAAGCTATAAACTTATTGAAACACTCTCAAATCTGTTCATGGAACCAACCGGTACTAAGCAATAAATGTAAAGTTTCTTGCTCAAATAAACAATGGCTTGTCCCAGACAGGGTTTGAACCCACATGGTCAGCATTCCTTAGATTACTAGTACGACGCGTTAATCACTAGGCCACGCGACCACTCTAAGCGTATATAACTTTTAACAGTTAGAAAAAAACAACAAGAATGATTTCCCTCAATTTATTAAAATTTCAGGCATATACAGTCACCTTACTATAGTCAACCATCTATCATCAACCTCCTCACAATGAAGAATTTAACATTCTATATGGGATATACAACCATTTTAAGTTATTGGTTCAAAGTTATTTACTTCCATAATGTGTATACTGGGATCCTACATATTACCGGACAAAATATGATGTTTTTTCGCTGTAACTTTTATTTAAAATAATAAAAAAGAATGAAATTTTACCAAAATAATTGTGGGTTCTTAATATACGTAAACATTCCTTTATCAAACATAAAATTAAACATTTGACCGTAGAAATGTGTCTTTAAAGTAGGTCATTAAAAGAGGAAAAAAATCGTGTAGACAACTCAATTTACCGGACATTGTGTTTCAAAATTTTTTGAAGTCGTGAATTGAAATTAATCTTTAAATAACCAGCAAGGAAACAACCACTATTGAATGGCAAGGTTAAGATATATGAAAAACCCAGCATGTCACTAGAAATAGACACGGCAGCCATGAAGAGGCCAATATATAGGGTGTAACTATTTAACTATGAAATTAATACTATTAACTCAACGTATTGATCCTTCATGATCCTTAAACGTATGAAACATTTTAATATTCAAATAGAATTTTGTTGTTCTGTTCTTTGTCATACAGTTTCCTTTTGGTCATCATGTAGGATATTACAAAAGCCATAAAATCAATTTTATTTATATTTCATGTAGAGTTTCCTTCCATGGGCGTAACCCGTTTCCTTATATGTTTTTTAATTTGAACTTCTTTGTAAAAGACAATAATGTGATACTGTTTAAACTAAATATAAAATAACTTTTTATCATTAAAATATGTTACGATTGTCTCTTGAGGTAACGTTGAAAAGAATTAAAAGTAAAACCTATCTAAAAAAAACCCATTAAGGGTCTCCATATTCGGGCCTGCGCAGAACAGATTATTCCCCCGCATGACCAGGTTATGAAATGACTAGTAAGCAAAAGGGCATGTTAGTAGATAAAGAACTGAATCAACAATATTTACCTGAGAGTGGTTTTGTTGTTATTTACTTTGAAATAGAAAGTGGGTGTACAATTCAGAATGTATGATTTTTGAATCGAAGCAAAAAATAAAGCTCTATTCAGCAGTAATATCTTTTGTCCGGTAAACTGATTGTCCGGTAAATATGTAGGACCCCAGTACCATTATCCTAGAAATTGTTTCGCACGTTTTAAGTTAGCGTTTTTTGCGGTGAATATATGTCTGCGAATGTTTGTATCCTTGAAAAAGTTGCATGTATCAAATCCGCGAAAATTAGTAGGTTTAACCCCTAAGATCATCATTATGTCATTATGAAGTAGTTATAGCCAAGCATAATTGAAAAACAGTTTTCAGTAAAATACAAATATTGCTTAAGTTGATATAAGAAATAAAGTATACCTGTAGAGTTGTTGAAGAGGTTGTATGAAGAGTTAAGAGGTCCATCTGGCTCTAGGAAATTTGTACTCTCACTATAAAGAAGTCAACAATATAGCATCAACTTTTTATTCTTAAAGTAGTATCAAACTTATCTCCCTCCTTGTTTATTTAAGGTAACATCTATGAAGACTTGTCTAATTTTACTTTTCTGTAAGTTTGAGCAGGGTTTGAATTTCCGCTCATATACTGGCAAATTACTAGCAAATTTTGAAATTTGCAAAAGATTTAATATTTCATTCTAAAATTTTTGCAAGTTATTTTTGCAGAACAACAGTAGAGAGCACCTGCGCATTGGCAGGATGTTGTTTCATTTTGCTAACTACATGTAAACTGTGGCTGAAACATAAAACATGTTTCGAAGTGGCCTGCAACACCAGAAAAATCAAGTAGAGTTTCAGCTTTTGCAAGTAAAATCTAAAAGGTTTCTTCCATTGATTTTTTCTTTTAAAACAGTTGGTTTATACGATGGGTAAGAAAGCCACTGCTGCCTGGCAAACTCTGTAATATTTTGATAAAACAAACAGACAATGGCTGTCGCTGACGATGTTGCATGATTTTTGCATGTTTTACAAACAACTTGTTGGAGGATGCAAGCAGAAATTTGAACCCTGTTAATTCAATTTTGCAAGCTTGTTTCTCATTTTACAAGTTTATTAATTTTAAAAAGTCACTGCAAAAAATTTGACAGTGGAAAAAAATGCAAAAAATTCTAATCCTATTTAGGTCATTTAAAAAGTAAAATATTTATGCTATAAATAGCAAGCTGGCTATGCTAAAGAACAAAGTGCTGCACTGGAAAAACACAGGATATATCGGTATTTTATAAAATAACTAAGTTTCCTCATGAAATTCAATGCATAAAATTCATTGATCAAGATTGATTTTTCTGTAATTCCAAATGTATTTCTGGAGTCACATGTGCAAACAATATTGTTATATTTATAGAGAATATATATAAATAATCTTCACGTAATATCTTAATATGCATCTATTTATTTAAGGAGATGGCAAAACATTGTTCTAATGTAACAATACCTGCAATACAACTAATTAACCATGTATGAAGGATTAAATGACAAAGCAAATTTGTTTCGCAGTAAACAACTCATGTAAAATGCAAAACCCTGCAATTGCATGACTGGAGCCTAAAGCTTACAATGCAATGCAATAAGTACTCTCTTTAATATTCAGTATAATTAGTTAGGAGACATAGAGTGTCTTTTATAAAGGTAAAGAATTTAAAATATAATAGAATATGGTAAAATATTCAAGAAAAATATCATATGTTGCGATATTCGGATTGGAATATCTGTCCCGAGGGAACCCTCCCTTTGGGCGGTAACAAGGCTTATCATTCCACCCTTAAGTAGTGTCAGAGTAATAAAATTACAAAGGGTGATAATTGATTATGCAAAAGAGTTATGGTTCATGAACAGTTGAACACTGCATTTCTTCTAAATGAGATCAGTACATCCGTTAAGATTCAAGAGCTGATACCTCCTATAGTTTTTCAGTTATTCCCCAGACAAACAAAACCCAAAAGGATGGCCCAACTGACAGAAAAGCTGATTTAAAAATATCCCCCTTATAACTTAGTTGTGTTGGAGGTATAGATATAATTTCACTAGTAACCAATCAGTATAGTATGCTCTAAGACTGAAAATTTTTAAAACATTCCTGTTCATTTAAGAAAGGAATTTATGACCATGAAAATTAAAATCTTACAACAATAAACCTCCAAATCAAGTTCTCACCTTACTGTATTTAAATCAAATAAATATCACTTCACCATACATGTGAACTCTCCCACTTTTAGCGGGAGACTCCCACTTTCTGCAGTCATATTTTCAAAGATTTTTCTTAAAATAAGGGGTATTTTCACAAATTAAAGAAATTTCCCTATTTTTGATGTCAGAACTTCCTTCTTTGTTTTTTTGCAAATTCTAAAATCTCCCTCTTTTTGAAGAAAAATCTCCCACTTGATCATCAAAATAAAGTTCAAATGTATGCTTCACAACGATTAATTACAATTAAGATGATTTCTTTTTCAATAATGTCTATGAAGATTATGTATACTCAGTAACAAAATTCTCCAATCTAACTATTGTTTTTCTCTGTTATCCAAAAGAATTTGATTATAAGCTGAATCACTATAAAGCACTTCCAAGTTCTATTGAACCGGTTTCTTTCCTATGTAAATTGTACATTTAAACTTACAATACCTGTACTTAAAAGTTTAGTAACTTGATAGCAATACCTATTCAACAATCACATAATTCGTCAGTCCATTGTTTTACTCACATAAAGAAGCAAGTATAGATATATTGAGAAAGTAACTGTAATGGAACTTAATTCCAATTTTAATTAAAGGCCAGTTAAAGGTAATTTAATCTGTACCCATTTCATTTTCTGCACTACAGATTTGTTACTGTGTTTGAATAAATATACATATGTATATGAAAATGTGCTACAATCAACATTATGCATTTTAAGTCTAAACATGCTGAATATTTAAATGGACTTGTCCCACTTCCATTTTTGGGACTGTCTATTATCAATTTTAGGGATATCAATTTGAATATTTTAAGTTTGTCAGCCAACAGTATAGAGCCTGGTCAGACTGCACTGATGTGCAGGCTGGCCTGGCTCTATACTGGTGGCAAAGGCTTAACGCTTTTCGTTCCAGCACTTTTAGGGTTAAGTCTAAACAAGACCTGTCCACAGACAGCGCGCTCCACTTTTCTCAGTATTGATACTTCAATAAAATAAACATAGAAACAAGAGGGCCATGATGGCCCTGAGGTCGCTCACCTGTATATAGGCCCCCGGATTGGGGCCAGTTTAAACCCCAGGGCTTTTATTTGAACAAACTTGGAAGACACCCATTAGAAGATGTTTCATGCTGTAAAGTTTTTACTACTACCGCCCCCCCCCCCCCCCGGCAGGGCCAATTTTAACCCAAGGGCTTTTATTTGAACAAACTTGGTAGATGTTTCATGCTAAATATCTAAGCTCTAGCTCTTTGGGTTCTTTAAAAGAAGATTTTTTAAGTTTTTACTATATGCATATAGGGACCTGGGGTGGGGCCAATTTTGACCCCAGGGATTTTTAAAAAAAAAACTTGGTAGACACTCACTAGAAGGTGTTTCATGCCAAATATTTAAGCTCTAGCTCTTAGGGCTTTTTAAAAGAAGATATATAAAGTTTTTTCATTCGGTTGCCATGGCAACCAGAGTTCTTTATGGAATTGAATTCTTTGAACAACTTTGTTAAGGCTTCACACAAGGAACATCCCTGTGAAGTTTCATTATGATCTGCCTTATGGTTTCAGAGGAGATGTCGTTTTAAAAGTGTGAACAGACAACGGACGACGTACGACGGACGACCCTAATGGCTCACCCTGAGCATATGCTCAGGTGAGCTAAAAAAAGGGCTTAGCAGAATTTGAGTTTGAAGTTGAGTAAAAGCAAATATTCTACATAAAAGAAGGGAATAAATAAGCAAAAACGGCTTTAAGGGTTATCTGCCCCTTAGTAATGCATTTCAAATTTCATGGTTAACAAGTACTTTGAGAAATGTACCTGAACAAAAAAGTTAACTATGAAATTCAGTCAAAAAGGAGCCATTAGTGAGAAAAAAAGTTACCTTCACTTTAGAAATGCATTCTTATTTAAGAATGTAACAAGTATTTAAGTTTGAAGTGATTTACTTTAAGTTTTTGAGAAAATGATCTTAGAAGAAAAAACGTGCAAAAAAAAGATCTTTTACAATTATCTGCTCTTCTGAAATGCCACATTTTGATAGTGAACGTGTATATCAAATTTGAAATAAAAAGCTTTTGTAGTTTCTGAGAAAATTTATCTTAACAAAAAGGTTAACCAGAGCTAATTCTAAGTTGAGAAAGGGGCATAACATTGCATAAAATAATTTTAGGATTATCTGCCATTTCGAAATGGCATCTTTTTATGACAATAAAGAAGTATACCAAGTTTGAAGTGAATAGCTTTTACTGTTTCCAAGAAAATGGACATTAACAAAAAGGTTAACCAATGGTAACAAGAGGGTATTGACAACATCTCCATGTTTTTGTCCGATAAGTGGAGCTAAAAATTAATCAGAGGAACTTTCCATAAAACTGTTACAACAAAATTGTCAAGAGCGATGATTTTGTTATTCAATCATATATATAATATATAGTTTGACTAAACCTATAATTATATAGAATTAGAATTGTTATAAATTACTATCAATATCCTATTTAAACACTCACCATCTATTTCTGATTTCTGTGACCCATTGTCTAACAGCCTGTCTGTAAGATGACAAGTTGATTTTACCATCTGTACATTCAGATTCTAAAATTGTTGCCAACTCTAATAAATCTTGTTCATTCTGCAAATTATAAACACTTAATATACATATTAACTAAAGAAACTAACATGAGAGGAACATACAACATTTTATTATATATGTACACTACAAAATGTATATAATGTATTTTCAGATTTCTTATTTGATTAATTATAACACTATCTAGGTCATGATGCACACAAAAAGACATACCAACAAACCTTTCAAAGCTTGATTTGTACAAAAAACAAACTTGTACTGTCAAAAACCAATACATTCTAAAGAAACATACACGTTAAAGCTGTCTGATATATTCAAAGTACAACAGTCAAGCATCAAAATTAGATGCCCTATTAAACAAACAAAGTTCTTTTGAAAAAACATACAGGCTCATTAATGCAAACATTAGTGCAATGTTTCTTGAAAATACATTGATTAATAGGTAAGTTACATTCTACAGGAACATTCCAACAAGAGCTTGCCATTTTACATATTGTCATCAATATCAGCGTAACATAGCCTTCATAGGCCTAGTGATTACGGGTGTTGACTTCAAAACAAAATGCCCTTCACCGCTTTAGGTTCAAATTGAGACAGGGACATGAAATAATGCACAGAGGGGTACCCAAGGTTTCCTCCACCAGTAAAGCCGATAAGTCACCATATGACCCACACTGTGTTGGTGCAACGTAAAAACCAACCAGCAAACAAACAAAAAAATAACATAGCCTTAATTATAAAACCCTAATAACTGTCAAGCTTCCAACTGTGTCAAGTCATTCGCCCACAATTACACTATATGCATTTAAGCTATTTCTGCATGTAACCATTGCTCAGTCTGATTAATTACACAAATTATACACTAATTTACAACATGAAATGGAAAATTGTCATCAGATGCAACCATATTGACATAATCGGATTTTAGTTCACTTTAATAATATGGCAGGGAATTTATATACCTTTAACCAGATCTTTAATATAGTTAGTTTGGTTAAAACATACTTTTATAAGAATGGCTTCATTGCAACTTTAATATTAAACACTTTCATCTCTGGTTCTTGGAGCTCACCAGTACCGGGTCTAATGAGGAAATATTGTTGACTTAAAGGGGATTCATCTGTATTGGTTTTGTTTGTTTGTTTGTTTCATTTTACGCCTTTTCCCAACAGTATTTCAGTCATGTAGGCGGGTAGTTTCCTAAAACCATCGTTCCTGGAGAGTTATACCAGTACTAGACTACCTTTCTCCGCGCTAAACTACCAAAGATCTGTATTGGTAATCATTTATTTTCTTTATCAGAATAATTATTGAAGCTCATTTTCGTTTTTGTATTGCATATTAGCAATAAAGGCAATAACATACTAAGATGAGGTATTTTCTACATCCCCTCAGCCATTTATGGCCGCATGACGTTAAGGCCGCATGATGTCATGCAGCCTTGAACGCGCACCTGTGTCCACCAGTCAAATTTTCGCAGGCACACCTTTCACATCCGGGTCGGATGACGTAAGCGGGTCAACAATGGCGGCTTGAGGGTCAACAATGGCCGCTTACATGCGCTTCAGATAAAAAATACGCCTTTTTTTCAAAAAACAATTATCATTTAAAATATTTCCATATAAGCCGTAACCATGTTTGCATATAAAAAAAGTCATTTATTTCCGTCTAAGCATTTACTTCAATGTTCTTTAAGGTAGCCTTACTGCAATGCTTTACTGCAAAAAATTTTCTAACATATCGTAATAAATTGGTCATTTCCAGAACATTATTTTTCACAATCTTCGGTATTCAATAATTTTTAACCATTTATAACCGGAATTTAGAACATAGCGATAAAGGATCAGGGATTGTAAATAATCCAATGCCCAAGACTTTGAAAAATTAGCATTCCGGAAACAACCAATTTGCAGTATTATCGAGCGGAGAAATATACATGTCAAACATTTCATAGAGATTTTAGGGCGACTAGAATTTTGATTTTCCGATCATATAGGGCGAAGTGAAAATATGTTTACGGCGAAGTTTTCGCCTGACTTTGCCCTGAACGCAGTCCCTGTATTGGCCGATGATAGAATTTTTTGGCAGGAAAGCATAACAGTAAGACTACCTTAAATGAATCCTCCAGCGATGAGAGGCAAATTTAAGGCCAATGCTCCCCTGAGTATCAAATAGATCTCTAGTAAACCTGCATAAAGAGAAAACTTACATTTCCATTTCCAAGGCAGTTTTTAAGGAATTGAATGACAGAATAGACATGAACTCTGCCCTCTCCAAGTGAATCGCATCTGTAGAACAAGCTGTCAATCATCTCCTCCTCCGATAAGGACACGCCCACTTCCTCATCCATAACCAATTAAAAGTCAATTTACCAATCAACTGTAATGAGAATTCTCTTATTAATAATTATTAATTAATTTAACAACAAGATTTATATCAAGTCCATTAATTTCTTAAAACCAACAAATTCTTTTTTTTCCAAACACCATGACCTGCACAATCCACATGTATATTAATTCTTTTATTGATATTACTTCTTCCAAGTGACTTTTATTGACTTGGTAATTAAAAAGAATTTCAATTTCCTTTCTTTATAAGGTATCTATAATGGATAGCTGTTATAAAACAGAAACACATTGAAGGAGTACTTGATACAATTTTCATTCCCACTTACAAAATCATTACATAACTGATTAGAATCACAATAAAAATCCTTTAATCCGGGTAGCTAGGAAGTTAAACCACTATTCTGAAATATTCCACATAGAAATGAGGACTATTATCGTATCTGCTTTAATTTGCATTATATTCCACTGTTCAATACTTGCAGGCAATCTATATAAGATTACAATGCAAATGACATGTCCAAATGTAACCACTAATCAGCTGCCAGCTACAGGAATAAAGTAATAATAATATCAAAGCAAGTATTGAAGTGACATTGTTTATACTGTCTAACAGTTACTTAGTACCCTTCAATCCTTTCAATGCATGAAGATTGAAAGATTTTTTACATAAATTTTTAAAAATGTGCTCTTAATATCAGGTCTTCTTACTTGATATTATCCTTTATGTAACAGAACAACAGATAAGCTTTGAAAGTGAATTGGGTATTACTCCATCATTTCATGTGGAATTGGGCATTGGCTCCATTTAATTGGGTATTCTAAAACATATTACCCAATGATTTTAAGATCGATTGGGTATTCAATCATGAAGATATGAATTTCATGTTTAATTACTTTTTATAATTATTATTTACGCGTTCGCCCGAATTTGCCAATGTGCCCGTTTTTTGTTTGCATTCAGGAATATCAAACATGAAACATCGTTAAAGAACTTCGTTTTCTGGCAGATTTTTATTATTTAGAACCGTTATGTTTCAAATCTTCTTTCGTTTCCTATAATGTAAATACAACACCATATTGCTTTCAGAGCGTCTACTGTTACAGGTTATTCGCATAGGACCTACTTATCGACAGCCTCCGCAAAACAACGGACTCCGTCGGTCTGTAAAGACTGTCAACCGGAGTAGAATGTTAAATAAATTTACGGTCTCATGCTTAATTGATTTGACTTCTGCAGTCTTTTGATACCAGGGACCATCTTATTTTTTTTAATGGGTTTTGATATGCATATCAAAAACAAGAACCGGTTGAACCGGGTGATGCTTCCATAGTAGGTTTGGGACACAGAATAGTATACCTGTTGAAGTGTAAGCGTTTAATAATGTCCCTGACAAAGTTCAGTGTAAAAATGAACAAAGGCAAATAACTCCAAAATTAAGCAAGACATAGTTATGGTTTTTTTTACTGCACTTCTACGCAATGAGATCTGTCTACCTACAAAATTTCATGTTGATATCTCTTATAGTTTTAGAGCAAGTTCAAAGTGTAAAAATAAACAAAGGGCAATAACTCCAAAATTAGGCAAGGCAGAGTTACGGTTCTTGTGCACCGCACATCTACTCAATGAGATCTAAGGCAGAGTTACGGTTCTTGTGCACTGCACATCTACTCAATGAGATCTATCTACTATATATGCTCACCCTTTGAAACGCAAAAAAAAAATTGCATATTATGTAAAATTAATTGCATGAATACGCAAATAAGCACCTTATTTGTTGCTCTGTGTAACATTAAGTGACTGTGCCAGTTCTGTTATGTATATTTTTATTTTTGTATATATATGTATACAGTAAATTACTAGACTTGGTATTGATCATTCCTGTAAAGTGTGGATAAAATTTCACCAGTAAGTTTCTGAGAAAATGTCAGGACAAGTTTTGTGACGCACGGACAGACGTGCGATCCAAATTAAGATAAAAGGCCTTTTCTGTTGTTATTTTCTTTTTTTAACAGAGGGCCATTGCCATTGCCCCTTCCACTATTGTTCTCTTTTGTTCTGTTTACAGTTAGCCCCCTATCTCTATATGGTAGTGCGGACAGACGACGGAGAAGTGATCCCTATATGTTGCCACTACTCTGTAGAGGCGACATAAAAATGATTATTTTACATGTATTTGTTTTCAAAAACCTAAAGTTGTATGTAAACAAGAGGGCCATGATGGCCCTTGATCTCTCCCCTGACCCATCAACAACATACAAGCAATATCTTAGACAAGCATCCTGGCCAAGTTTGATGGCAATTGAGTCAAAAATGTACCTCTAGTGTGTAAAAAAGGTTTTTCCATATTTGGGCAGTGTGACCTAGCTTTTGACCCAGGTGACCCATATTCAATCTTGATATAGAAATCATCAAAACAAACTTGAAGACCAATTTCCAGGGTATTTGGATAACAACAGTAGCCACTAGAGAGTTCACAAGATTTTCAGGGTTCCCTCTTGGTCAAAATTAGTTTGCGCCACCAAATTCGCCAATCAGAAAAAGTTGGAGCCAATGGCTCCAAAGTTGGAGCCAATAATTCTGCAAGGGAGACATGCCTATCTTTGCTAAGATATGCTAGCAGTTATATATCATTATGATTACAAACACATATTTATAATATTTCATTTTATTACAGCTGCACATGTTTTATCTAAAATATAGACATAGTATTATGTGGTTTTCAAATTCCCTTTAAATAAATACACATGACAGCATAAATGTAATCAAAAACATCATGTTAAGTTAGTCATGAGAGGTCCTGTTTTCCACCGTTTTGCCAGTATAGCAGTTCTTCTCACAGGCTGGACTGAGCCAAGATCTTTCCCAGCTTCTATCCGACAATCTGGTGATCTACAGATACAAAATAAAAAAAAACAACATTACTATAAATTGACTTCATCTAAAAATCAATGAGAACTAAAAAATGAAATAAATACTAAGTATTTTTAACAATAAAAAATATTGTTTATTTTAATAGGGTTTGCATGTGAATAGACACTTTAGCACTTTACATTCAGATATGAAAATATTAACATTGCAGTAAACAGTGGCTTTAGATCCATCATTAGTGAAATTATTCTTTTAATTGTCTTTCGATTTAATATTCAAACGGTAATTATTTTTAATCAGTCAACTTACCTAAAGTTCAATGTTTGTCAACATAACAAACGATCTTTCACTTCTCTGTTCGCTACTAACACCCGTTGACCACACATGTTATTATCAGTGCTCCAAGTCAGAGAATGAAAGACGTAAATTGTTCCAATTAACACATTGACACTTTCATCTTCACATGTTCCCGAAGTGTCACACAATTGATGACATAATTGATTATACGGTACCCGATTATACAGTTTGATAAACAAACTAATAGCGCGTGACCTTTCACATTTGGGCCGCTTATGTAATTGACGCGGCCGCTTATGACATTTAAGTGTACTAGTTGTCGGATGCTTTTATCTTACGTTGGCGCCAGTTAAATTCGCCAATTAAAGATTTTATGCGCCAGAATTAATATTTTGTCGCATTTGGCGCCATTGGCGAGCGACAGCGGGAACCCTGGATTTTCTATTTTTAGCTCCTGTGACCTAGTTTTTCATCAGAGATAGCCATATTCGAACTCGAAGCAATTAACTAGACAAGCATCCTGACCAAGTTTGGTGAGAATTGAGTCAAAGTGTTACCATTAGAGTATTAACATGGTTTTTCCATATTTGGACAGTGTGACCTAGTTTTTGACCCCAGGTGATCCATTATCAAACTTGGCATAGAAATCATCGAAACAACCTTCCTGACCAATTTCCAGAAAAAATCTGGATCAAAACTGCAGCCACTAGAGTGTTAACAAGCTTTTTCTAATTTTAGCTCCTGTGACCTAGTTTTTGACCAGAGATGACCCATGTTTGAACTTGACCTAGAAATCATCAAAACAACCTTCCTGACAAATTTCCAGAATATTTGCAGCCACTAGAGTGTTAACAAGCTTTTTCTCTGACCTAGTTTTTGACCAGAGATGACCCATGTTCGAACTTGACCTAGAAATCATCAAAACAACTATCCTGACAAATTTCCAGAATATTTGGACCAAAACTGCAGCCACTAGAGTATTAACAATATTTTTCTATTTTTAGCTCCTGTGACCTAGTTTTTGACCAGAGATGACCCATGTTCGAACTTGACCTAAAAATCATTAAAATAACCTTCCTGACAAATTTCCAAAATATTTGGATCAAAACTGCAGCCACTACAGTGTTAACAAGCTTTTTCTATTTTTAGCTCCTGTGACCTAGTTTTTGACCAGAGATGACCCATGTTCGAACTTGACCTAAAAAATCATTAAAATAACCTTCCTGACAAATTTCCAAAATATTTGGATCAAAACTGCAGCCACTAGAGTGTTAACAAGCTTTTTCTATTTTTAGCTCCTGTGACCTAGTTTTTGACCGGAGATGACCCATCTTCAAACTTGCCTGTATTTCTTTGAGACAAACATTCTGACAAAGTTTGATGATGATCCAATCAAAACTGTGACTGCTAACAACCCAATTGTTAACGACCCACAATGACGGACATAACCCCATCACTATACCTCACCTTGACCACTTTGTGCTCAGGTGAGCTAAAAAAGTATACATTTACAAGTTGTAATTTTAATGAAACTCTCTTACAGCAAGTCTACACAAAGTGAAAAAAACTTCTAAATTTTCATGACAACTTTATAAAATGACACTCACCCAAACACAATATCAGACAGTTGGATGTGAAAGACAGACATAATATTCAAAATCGTTACATCTTTTTAAAGCAGTGCATGATAACAGAAATGTCAGACTCCTCCTTTATTTCAGAAATACTATAATCAATGACCCTTAATTTGGCAGCCAATGAGTACAGTACCATTCCAACTTCATAAATCATTCAAAATAATGATCATGACAATTACGATACAAAATAAATACCAAACACTAAATAATGTATTATAAATATTATTATGTTAATATTATTATTTGTTTAATGTAAAATATTATACATACCAAATATATAAAAGAAGTATGGCTAGATTTTTAAAAATTTACAGATAACAAGAACTATACCAGTTAGGTAGTTATATAAATCCATGCATGATAATGAAACTATTTGTGACTGGCATTTAATATTTTCCAATATTTACTATGCACAGAACATTACTTTTTCCTGCTCATACCATGCTTCACTTGCTATTAGTACTTTCATTAGGAACAACAATCACTAATCAATATAATAATTTGCCATACAGTAGACCTGTGATAAACGCTGACTGTAACTATGATATATTTCGCTACCTTATGTGCAAAGATATTACAATATATCTGATATAAATATCATTTCAACTAAAGAGCAAACTAAACACAATAAAAGTAAGGTAAACAAACTTAATTTTCAATCTGCCAATTGAAATTAAAGGAGAGTCAAGTAAGAATTATCATACAGTAGATCAAAATTTAATCAGTCCATTGATGCGCATAGTTATAAACATCATGCAATATTTAATTCATTTTGTTTCTTTAAAGTGTATACAGTTACATTTCTTCTGCTGTCTGTAATTTACAAAATTATTGTTACTGAAAAAGACTAATTCCAAAATACATTTAGAGGTATGCAGGTGCCTTTAATAAGGTGAATTTCTGTCAGCAATCTGATCTCATGAGCATTAAATATCAGAACCCTATCTATATTGTGGATTGAGACCTTAAACCCCAACATGAGCCTTAATGTGTGACAGACAATTACAATTCAACTCTCATCAAGAGATCTTCCTGTTTACCAGAAACAGATATCAATTGAGTACAGGAATATATATAATCACAATAGGTGTTTTCTTAAATTACATAGTGCCCCCTGACCAACATTTCATTACTGACTTTGGGGGGGGGGGGTGAAGTGGGTGAAGTGTCTTGAGGTGTGAAGTGTCTTCAAAACTTGAGAGGTGAGTGTCTGTGTGATGAAGTGTCTTGTTCCCCCCAATCAGACTAGTCCATATCATAAAAGTACTATAGTCAGCCTGGTTCCCTGCCTTCATTTACTACTGTAAGTAGTCTAAGAAACTCCAGACTACATATATGATGTAGTCTATTACACGATTAAATTGTCTGGACAATTAAGTTAAGGCTAGCAACATACTGTTGTATTTTTATAATTAAATAAACAACTTAGAAAGCAAGTTATATTGTTATATCTGCTTCCATCATATCTACTTGATACTCTTGTTTACAACCATTTTCAAAAATTTGGTGTTGAGATGGCGCTTATGGGAATTTTTATTATATAGGCTATAGTCGCCTTCAATGATCATATATCATTTTTTAACAGTTTAAAGTTGGTCGGTCTTGCAGTCAAAATATTGAGACTATTACACTGTATTATAGAAGGAATTTAAATAGGCTTAACTTGTCTGCATACTGTAATGACCTTTTATTAGTAATGATGAAACAGTGGTCATTGCAGTTTCATCCTATGCACAAACTTTCACAGTCGTTACAAGTAAGGTGAACATTTCTCGTGTTCCAAAACGATCCGATGATCGAAAGCATCAGATCAGTTGACACGTGCATAAATCGCAAAGAATAAATTGCAAATACATAGATTTTCTTGGACAAAATGTCTTAATTCTTCAGTCTTAAGACGATATTTTTGAAAACGCTGACTGCAATAACTATAGTTTTTTGATACCTGGTGCTTTAACGAATTATCCCATGGTGTTTCTGCTGTCAAATAGTCCCGCGGAACTTCATTTTGTAGACTGGACTCTGTAAAATAACCGAAAACATTTTTAAATACCGTAAGGTAAAATAACTACCAATAAGTATGCTTGGTTATTTTGATGAACACCGCTTTAGTTACATCACGGATTTATATTACATTACATTATATTGTAATATAAATCCGTGAATATCACTAACAATTAAAATAAATAATTTGGAAAAATGGATGCAGTGGAACATACCTAAATTCTTAATATCATTTTCATAATTCACAATCATTTCCCTGCATAACTCTGTCACATATAATATAAATTGTGCATGCAGTTGTCTCCCTTACATGAAAATAAAAAAAATTACACTAGACCTTTTTTGAAATCAAATAAGAGATCCTTTATTCAAAAGTTATTTGCTTTGAATGCTTTTTTTTTTCAGGAAATACCTGCAGATTTACATTTCGATGCAGAGTGATATACATAAGTTCTTTAATATACAACAGTATATGCATTATATACAAGTATGTGAATATATTTAGAAAGCCAAACAAAATGTGTATGAATTTTAATTTGACATGAAGTATTTTAGATATGGAATCATCAGGGACCATGACATAACACTGTAAGTCATGCAAGATTATTCATTTCTGGGTTTCCTAATCACATCAGTGTGGACTGACTGAAAGAGAATTTCCGCGCCAGATTATAAGAACTCTACCTCTACAGTACCCTATCCTTCATCAAAGAGTACTCATATTTTTGCATCAATGTATGAAGGCATAGTTTAATTTTTTGTTGCATGAAAATCCTTTCTGCAGTCATATGCACTGTACCTCTGCTGTAGCATGTACAGAAGTTATCAGTTCCTTGTGAAAGTGATGGCAACTAGTACTAGTTAACTGCTTGTCAGCCTGCCCAGGAATCATGCAGTGGCTGCACTGTGTTCAGGTGGATTCAAAATGGCTTACTGTCATGATCTGGAGAGTAAACTACCAACACCAACAGCACTGCTGCAGTGACATAGCATTGATAACCATGATAATGAAGAATTTTTAAAGTAAATACAGGTATTTTTTATATCACATAGGAACTAATATTTATCATTGATAATCTCCTATCTTTAGATAAGTATAATTCTGTCAGCATAAGTAACTAATGGTAATATAATCTACCCAACTACGGAAGTAGTGTTACTCAGTACACTCAACATGTTCTGTTTTACTGAAAACTATGCAACGAGTTATCACAGAAAACAAAGTTAACAAGCTGTGGAAAAAACATACTCCAAAACACTATATTTATATTTAAATGATGTAAATTCTTTTTTGCGCAAATTTAATGTCCCATTTTTTTCCACAACTTGCAAATGACCTAGATTAGACTTCCATAGTTGATTATTTAATAGATATATTTGTAAACCACCAAGTTAGTGATTCTATATTCTAGAATTGATCACCTAAATAAATGCAATAAAATCATTATTTCTTCAACAATTTTTTGTTGAAACTTTACTGATAATTCATACTGTACTTAGAAATAGCTGGCTTCTGTAACAAGTTGCTATGGCAAGCCAACACATCATTCTGTGAAGTCTGAACAAAGAAGCAGCTGCTCAATCTTATTATTTTGAAATTGAAATATGAGCCACGTCATGACAAAACCAATATAATGGGTTGCGACCAGCATGGATCCAGATCAGCCTGCGCATCCGCGCAGTCTGATCAGGATCTATGCTGTTTGCTACCAGTTTCTCTATTTGTAATAGCGTTTGTAAGCGAACAGCATGGATCCTGATCAGACTGCACGGATGCGCAGGCTGGTCTGGATCCATGCTGGTCGCTAACGCATTACCTTGGTTTTGTCATGACGTGGCTCATATTTTTTATTCGTTTTAAGTCACACAAACACTGCTCAGGTGTATGTTGTAACTTTCCAGCTATATTGGTAGAGGAAGACCTCAGGGGTTCCTGCAAATATTATTTCACTATAATTTCAGGCACAAGTGGGATACCCTGAGCAGAACCATCAACCTTCCGTAACTATGTATTGCTTCATAGCATGGTATATTCATGATACCAATTCACCAGGTATGATACCTTAACTAACAGCATTTTCTTGTTAGTCAATATGTTTGACTGCAGTTATGGCTTATTTTAACATAATATCAGTAAAAACAGCTTAACATTCTAAAATCGTCTTACAAATAACTAATTAGTCAACCCTTACATTATTCCAGCAAAATACAATGGTCACAAGTTTTTTCTAAACCATCTTTGTCTCAGAAATATTAAAAGCCTAGAGAGGTTAAAATAGATCACAAACACACAATTATTTTAGTATTTTTTTATTATTAATTTATTTTTATTTTATTCATTTATGATATTGGTTTAGTCCTTTGTATGTATATGAATATTTGACACATATTTTCACATTCAATTTTGTTATCTATCCTTCATACAACTTTACATATAATATATAATGCAGAATATTTACATTGTGAGCTATCACCATTGAAACATAACTAATTTACATATTACCCAAGATGCAACAGTAACTTAACATTTAACAATGATATAACATGTGCACCATGGAATGAAAGTGGGTGGGGTAATGTACAAGCAGGTTTAAGCCTAGGGAAACTGTACAAGTGGCTTATTAAGCTAATATACATTACATATGATTCTGTACACTGTACACTTTATACAATAACAACATTCTGTCTGTCATATACAAGACATAAAAGTTTAAATACAATCAATAAAACACTAGTTCTATTTTACAATAATGACATACTTATTTCTAAAACAAAATTTGTTCTAAAAGATATAAAAAGATACAAAACATTTAAAATGCCCAAACTGGTAAAATAAGTACAGTCCAGATACTAGCAGTTTCAACCCTATGAATTATCTTGATTCAAATCAGCGGCAAGATGAACAAAACTGAACTGCTTTTTGTTCTTTTATCTTAAAAATTCATTAAAACAATTATGTCTTGCAGAAGAAAATAACATGGAAATTATAAAAATGATTTCAAAAGTAATTTCAACTGAAACATGAAGGAAAAATTAATCAAAATAAAATATTTAATGTTGTTATCACTTCCTTTTGACATCGAGTCTAAACTAAGTAAATAAATATTTTAACTTAAACTGAAAAACAGGTTTCCATACTTAAAATACCAACCATATTCAAAGCATGATAATGTAATGATTTATCGTTTAACTTTCTCACAAGTAAAGTATATGTTAATGCATTCATTTATATTCATTTGAAAATTATATCACCAGAAAGTATTAATATATCATCACTTCATGATCTCATAAGGCCATCCAATAAAATATTTTTGTTTGCAGTAGTTCGACTCGCTCAAAACTTGTAACTATTAACCTCCCTGAATTTCTTAAATGGGCTTATCCAGCTCTCATTTTGGAACTGTCCATTATCAATTGTGGGGATATAAAGATGAAAATTTAAAGTAAGTCAACATTACAGACTCTGGTCAGGCTGCACAGATGAGCAGTATTGTCTTGCCATATACTGGTGAAAAAGGCTAATCAATTAAGATTTGATTAAAAAAAAAAAATTACCCATTTTTTTTTATAAATTGGGGTCAAGCTAATTTTAACAGCCTTAACTGCTTGCACTGGGAGGAACCAAGCTAGCCTGCAAATCAATACAATCTGAACAACTTTTGTATTTTGATATTAAAATCCCTTATTTTTTAAATGGACTGCTCCCAATTCAAATCTAGACAAATCCATTACACAACTTCAGCAGGGTCAGGGTTAAAATGAGCCTGTCTGATACCAGCAAACTACTGAATTTTTCAGAGAGGACTGAAAACCTTGCATTTAAAATACAATTGTTAAACAGTCATTATGATGCATTTGATAAAAAATGTTAAGATTCTTGTACATAATTCATCATGATCATTATAAAGTTTATTTGAGAAGTTAAAATATTTATTACATATATGCAAATCTATCACAATTAAACCTATATAAGTGCAAGTTTTTCAGGCTATTTTCCTGACGTTTTTTTCTCCAAATCTTTAGCAATTTATTTTCTATTATGCAAACTGCAATTTTCCCAAAATGGCATAGACATGTTTATAGAGAAGACATAAATCATTTTTCATCTTTTCAATAAAAATATGAACTCCTTATATTTCAATTCAATTATAATAATAAGGTAGAAATGAAATGTTTTAAATTATTTTGAGAAATATTCAACAATTGAAATATCAAATTATTATTCTAATATGTGGAGAATTTGCAGTTTTTGACATTTTGAAAACACATTATTCACAATTAATTCCATTTCAAAGGTCATGCAAATTTATGATGAAAGGTAAAATCTGGAAATAAATTAATCCACACAAAAAATGTTAATTTTCTTCATCTCGGCCCATATTAAAAACAGGACATCCATGTATGTGTTTGTGAGTTAGTTTTTTTTTCTCTATAAAATAAATAAAATCCTGTAAAATCTTAAAAAGCAGTTAAGCAAAGAAAGAAAGGATATGTATTTTTTGCTGATTTTTGCCCTGAGATATAGAGTAAGGGCATATGTTGATTCAGCACCTAAATAACTGTACACATAAGAATCTTATATAAACAATACAAACCATTATCTAATCATCTAGTAATAACTTTGGTAATCATTCAAACCTTTCAGCATATATAAATTATTTGTATAACACTGTACAGTAACAGATTCATAGTAAATTATCACAGATATCGCAAATCAGTAACCATGGAAACAAACGTTTTTTTCCCCTTCAATTTTTATCAATTAAACTTCCATTAAATCAGGATTTTATCACTGCACTATCAGTCCTGTAAGGAAAACAACTTTTTAAATTCTCTCACCTTCACATAAGAGCATTGCTATGTTTAAATTGCTTTCCTTCAACTAATCTCACTATTCTAGAACAATATTAAAATGTTTGTTTCCATAGTTACACTGTATTTCAAGGCACCACAATAGCTTGTTACCCAAGTCCTCCACAAAACTCATACCCAACATGTCATAGTAAAAGGTCACCTTCTGTACAATACAACTATAGTACTACATATCAATTGTGAATATAAAAATAGAGAATAACAATGTTAAGGCATCAATATCATTAAATTTATCCTGGTAAAATAGTGAAAATAACATGTCACAATAGTCCTAAATCTGAAACAAAAATATTAATTATCTTTTACTTATTCTTTATTGCATTCACAAATCAGATGTGCATTTCATACATGTAAATTTTCTTTGAAAGTCAGCAAAAAGCAATGCCATGGGACAAAATTAATCAAATTAAGAAAGCAAACTATTTTCTGAAAAATATGAAATAACAGAGAATAATTATTTTTAGTGCATAAAGACCCGAGATATAACATTTCCTATCAACCTACTAAATTTAATACTTGCCAAAATACCAATCACTCAAAACTGTTATAATTTTATTAATTGTCTGCCAACATTAAATTTTATGCCCTTTTATAAAACCATTCTTTTAGTGACACCCACACACAGCTGTGGTAATAGTGAATGATTTGAATACACATATGCCAAAACTCTGTGCACTTTCCTCCTTACATACTGATCATATTCTGTTGAAATGTCAAGGTTATAAGAATATTGTTTGTAATGAAATGTTAACCCACTATAGTTTTTAATGTCTTCATATACAACAGAATCAGGAGTAAAGGAGTAAATCAACTTCCGTTTCTTTCACTAATTGAGGCGTCAGTTTCAGCAGAGATAATAAGAGAAAGAAAATGCAATGGATACATGAAATTAAAGACCTGAGCCTCTGATTGGCTGATTACAGCCTCTGATTGGCTGATTACAGCCTCTGATTGGCTTATTACAGCCTCTGATTGGCTGATTACAGCCTCTGATGGGCTGAATACAGCCTCTGATGGGCTGAATACAGCCTCTGATTTGGCTGATTTACAGCCTCTGACTGGCTGATATTTTAAAATACTGAACAATAATGTAGCATTTGAATTATTCAAAATTTTAAGTTCATTTAACAGTTACTTCTTTTCACTTTCAAAAAGCAAGACAAGATTTCATAAATATGCTGAAAAGATTGAAAATAGTAACTTTAGATTTAAAATTCTTATACAGAATTTTATTTTCAAATGACACCAAACAACGATTTGAACACAATGCATTTAATGCAGAGTACCAGACATTCATACAAAGAAATACTTATAAAGCATTCCTGAAATAGACATTATTGAGATAAGAAATCCCTCTTCCCAGCAAGTCATACTTGATACTTAGTCAAAGTTAAGACTGTGTTATGTTAATGCATATAAAATCATTTATGTACTGAAAAATATACTGAATAACAAATTAGATTTAACTAAATTCCTGCAACATAAAACAGTGAGTATGATTTTAAATATTATTTCAAAATATTTTTTACAAATTCAAATAAAACACACTGGTATGTGTCAAAAAGAATGACTGTAAAACATGAATCAACTGGAGGTAACAAAAATGCAATCTAGATGAACAGCACTGAACACAATTCCTTTCTTCCTTTTGGGTTGTTAACCCTTTTCATGCTGGTACATAAATTGATCAGCAACCAGTCTAGAGCTAGACTAGACTGCACATCTGTGCTGTCTGACTAAGCACTATACAATTGGTTGCTCAATTTTTCTATTTTAATGCTGAAATACTTTAAACATTGAATGGAGTGTTCCAAATTCAAAGTGGGATAAAGGTCAAGTATTTACCATTCTGCAGCTTTAAATAACAAAAATAGAAGCAACTTAAATTTTTCACTAAAATAATCATATTGTCAGTGAATACATTGCACAACCCAAGACATTTTTTTTCCCTTCACACTACCACTAATTCTTGAGCAAAAATCTGTTCATATCGGAAAATGACCTTTTACTATTGAGCGTATGCTACACATAGACAGGGGAGTTTGACTCTCCATTTGATTCAGTGTCCTGTTTTTTCTCTTCAGTCCGTTCACTGCGCTCTGCCACATATTTTGCGGTCGGATAAGGATGGCCAGCATCGTCGAAAAATCTCTTAAATGTAAATTCAAAGAATGCATGTTCTGGAAATTTTCCATTTAAGGGGTGGTCTAAATTTCTGATCTCGTTTTCAGAATCACTGTCATCTTCCCGTTCTTCGACAGGATCAAAATTTGATGTATCCATTGCATGACGAATTTTTGGCTTATATAACGCTGACTGTTTCCGAAGTCCTTCAAACTGAATACATGAGAAGAAAGGGTGTGATTTGATTTCTTCAGCACCATTCATGCCCAGTCTTTCATCTGGCCCACAACACAACCTGATAATAAGGTCCTTTGATGATTGTGAAAGGTTGGCCTCACGTGGAATTTTTAAAGTCTGCTCCCAGTGTATAACCTGAAAGTTAAATAACAATCCTATTATCATATTGAAATCAAGATTAAAACAACATATAGACGTGTTATAGCAAACCACTAAATTAAATCAGAAAATATTCATCAACATTTGTACAATATCATGCTGAGATTTTATGAAGGCATAAAGCAATTCAAACATTATGCGGGTAATTTCACGTACTTGTATTAACCCCCTTAACACATGATAGAAACATCTCAAATATTTACAAACTGACAAGTAGTAAAATTCTTATCATTTACAACAAATAAGGCAACATATAAATCCTGATTAGATAATTGAAAATAAAAGTTATGAAATGGGTGTTCCTCCAAACACTTATACCTACTGCTGGCATTCATAATTAACTTAACATTTCTGTTTTATTATCATACTCCAGTCGGTTTTAAAAAAATCATGTTAAGTGTAATGGTATATACCCCTCGGCTTAAATCATGGTGTATAATTATACACTCCCATACTGCTTGAATGTAATATGCTAATGAACAGGTCTAGAAATGCACATCTATTAATGATTATTTACAATAAACTCTATTTATAATGCTTTCATTGACCTTGCATACATTAACTTACATAACTTGCAGCACAAATAACATCCACAGAAATACTTAACATCACCTTTATTTACTACTAGTGCTTCACAAACAACAACATTAAAATGCATCTCCCATAAATCACAAATTCCAACAATATATACTATTTTTGAGTATAATTATAAGCCAAACAAGGTTCTTTGACAATCTCACAGAACAAGCTTATGTAACCTGGGGTATTTAGGTCTGGTATGAATATAAAGTTTGAAATCATCTTAGTCAGTATGTTTATCACATGGTTTTTAAAAGTGTCCCTATAAATAATTTCATTTATTTTCCCTTGCCGAGATGGAAAAGTGATCAGCCTTTGCCACCAGCATAGGGCCAGGCCAGCCTGCACATTTATGTAGATTGTCCAAACTCAATTTTGTTGGCTGATACATTTTCATATTGACATTCCCAAGAGTGATACTATGTTAGTCCCAAAAATGGAAACTTCACAATTCACCCAGTTTACAAGTTTGAGGAAACAATTTAAACTTTAATAGTCATGTAATAGTGAGTATAACGCCTAATTTCATAATGAAGTTCCACTAAAATATATGTTATTAATGTGACAACATATCCTGTCATATTATACACACCTCAGACTGACTGACCATTTGTAAAACTGTACCCATACTGCTGGGTACCCAACAAAAGTTAATGACAATATAAGTGGATATGAGGACATACCTTGTACTGGGTTTCTTGCGGTGTTTGAGCATAGAAGGGTGGTTGTCCGACTAACATCTCATACAGGATCACGCCAACACTCCACCAGTCACAACAAGACTTGTAACCTGTAACATTAACAACAGTTGCTCACATGTTACATTTGATTGAAAACAATACATTTGATAGAAATAGCAAACATTTTAAGACATGGAAAACAATATAAACAGAATATTGCAATATGTGATGTCAACTTATACATTACAGTAGTCTTATCTGTATAAATGTCAAGTTTTTAAAATTAAAATAGTAGTCATTTTACATTGTTGAATTCTATTGGATGAGTACACAGTTGTCAAACTATATTGGACGAGGCGCTGGTGTACAAATAAAATAGAATCAGTATTGTTCGCAACAATGTATAATTACCTCATTATTTCATACCACCAATTTTTTGAGCGAACTTTATTCCTTTTATTACGATCAGGATTTGATACAAATATTTTGAACTCTAAAAATGAAAATGAGGTTCTAAATGGATTTGATACAATATTTTTCGACTCTGGCTAAATAGATGATTGGATTCAATAATGATTTCTATTGGAACATTGCATGGTGCAATCACTGAAAGTGCATTGGTTATATTTTACAAGATGTGAAATATTTTTTTCATGTATCATTATCACATGATCAAAATAACCCCTATTTTCAGTTCAAGGAGTTTCAATATACAGTATCAAAATTGGGTAGTCGGTCTACCAGTGTGTATTGTATCAAATACCAAAACCGGGCAGTCAACCAGTATGTAGTTTATCTAATACCAAATCTGGGTAGTCTGGCTCAGTACTGTGATGTAACAGGCAAGTAATTATTGTCATAAGTATTCAGGTAATGATAAGACATATAAATATTTTATACATGTACCTTGTCTAAGCAGCACTTCAGGAGCTATATAGTTTGGTGTGCCAACCAAGGAATGTGCCAGACACTTCTTGTGTTGTTTTCTTCGCTCCAATGTCTTGATCTTCTGACATCGACAATCTATAGACATTGGTGATTCCGAGCAATTCACGTCCATGGAATCTTGCCGATTGTGGACTCCATCTAAAGAAGTAAAAATAAAGAAAAATATTAAGTGTTTCAAGAAAACTATTAGCTTGCAAGTCCTCAATAATTCATTAATTGCCAAGGATTAATTTTGTTCAGGACGATGTTGATCTAATCAACAAATTTCATAATTATTTATTTATCAATTAATTAACAAACATAAAATTGTTTAAACACATCATTTAAAATGATAAATAAATGTATATCAATAATTATAGAATAATTAAGTTGGGATAATTGAAATCAGGGTAATCTCATAGTAATCATCATCAAAACATTCATTTAAATCATCAGCATTATCAACATACAAATATTGTAATCAGCAGCAGTAATGGCTTGTCATTGACATTTTCAATTAACCATCTCTTAAATATACAGCCAGTAATCATATTAAACTTGTTATCTTGAATTTGTTAAATTCACCTTCTTAAATTCACTGTAATTATTAAATTCACCATCTTAGATTCATTATGTCATATTCACCTTCTTAAATTCATTACATCAAATTCACCATCTTAGATTCATTATATCAAATTCACATTCTTAAATTCACTATAATTATTAAATTCACCATCTTAGATTCATTATGTCATCTTCACCTTCTTAAATTCATTACATCAAATTCACAATCTTAAATTCATTATATCAAATTCACCATCTTAAATTCATTATATCAAATTCACCATCTTAATTCATTACATCAAATTCACCATCTTAGATTCATTACATCAAATTCACATTCTTAAATTCATTATATTTAATTCACCATCTCAATTCATTATATTAAATTCACCATCTCAATTCATTATATTGAATTCACTATATAATTTGCAATTCATCATTTAAAATTCATTTTATTAAATTCACCATCTTAAATTCATTCATTATTTCAAATTATGTTAAATTTCTTGACTGAAATAAGAATAAAATCAGGATGATTACAGGACCAAATGTTCATTTCTAACAAAATTCTTGCTTAAATTCTTTAATGATCAGGTTCATGTTTAATTAAACTTTACAAGTAATGAAATGATCATAGAAGAGAAAAAAATCCTACAAAATGACAAGGTGTTCCCAATCTCAAAAACTTTTCCCTGATCATAATGATAAATGTGAGAAAAATGTTTCATAAACCTGTCAGAGGTTAATATACCATCAAATATTGAAAGAGCTTTAATTAATAACATGAATGAATTTCTGGTATTTTGGAGGTATTTGTAAATATTAAACCGTACTGATCTCACTATCACCAAACAGAAAATAATTGAAATTTGATTGAAATACTTCTTTTTTAGGAGAGATCTAAATGAGAGTTATTGAGCAGCGGTAGGTAAAAATATGAGTAAATAGTTTTTTTTTAGTTTTGCCCCTCCCTAGATTATGTTGACAAACTCGTCTGGCTTTAAACTGTTGAGTGATTTCAAATTCAAAGCTAAAATTATAAATAGGGTAAAGTATAAATTAAGTAATCAATTAAAGAGCTAAAGTAATATCACTTTTACAATAATAGATAATTTTAACTTTGCATTTCAATGACAAAGGGGCAATTTCATGATAGAGAAAAGAGCAAGTATTTCTAGAAAAAAGTAGAGCTGTCATTGATTCAGTGCAAAGCATATCAACGATATATCGATATCAAGTGACTAAAATCAACGATACACCGATATATCGATAATATCCTATACTCACTTGTCTGTCATTCACTTTCATACCAGCTGTTTCAATGATTTCAGTCAAAAACATGTTCTGTACAGTGTCTTGTCCACTGCATGATTTTTTCTAGAAAATATTTTTTGTCACCATTGCTATGAAATAATTCCACTATATAACAAAAGCATAACATTAGATATAAATAACTGCTTCTGTATATATTTTGGGTGAATTTTATAATTTCTAGACATTTAATTTATTAGTCAAAAGTATCGATTTTTTAGAATGTGTATCGATTATTGATCGGCAAAATAATATCAATGATACATCGATATTGTTGATATCGATGACAGCTCTAGAAAAAAGAGATTTTAAAGGGGAGTAAAAAATGTACTTTTTAATATTTCAATTGATCTTAAAAAAGTAACAAATTGACGTAGCAGTTACTTTAAAAAAACTTTTATCTTTAATGCAATTATTTTACTACAACCAAACCCATGTACCCTATGACAGATAAAACATTTATCTCAACATTTTTGACATTAATGCTATTACAGTTTGTCAAAAATGTGAATCATAAAACAATATTCAGTGATATCTATTTCTATACTTTTAACTTTTAATTTTTTTATCCCCATTTTACCAAAAAAAAAATCAGCATTGATGAAAATGAAAATTTCTGAAATGCTGTGACAGATCACAAATGATGTTGACAAATGATCAAATTATCCAATTAAAAGCAGAGGGGGAAAAGATAAATGAAATTATAGCTCTCTGGTTTTTACATGTCTTCAGGGGGAAAATGTGGGTGGCATTTATTACACTGATTCACCAAGTTTTTCTGTACATTTTTTCACTCCTCTGTTTTGTAACCAGAAAACACATCAAGTAACAATATCTTAACAAATGAAAAATCTACAAAATAACAGAAATATATACAAAATGTCAAGGTAATATGTCACTTTATTACACCTTTTTTGCCAAGAATAATGCAAACATACAGGATTAGAAAATAAAGAAAATAAAACTTATATTTTACAGTAGACAGGTATGAAAAGTACAGCATGCGGCATGTTTCCTTGCCAAAACAAAGCCATCAACCGAGTTTACCAGCTACCTACTGCCTTCTAAATATGATTCATAGGCCAGAAATGTTTCCTTCTTCAATATAATCTTGTATTTTGGCTAACAAACAAACAAGACAGGCCACTGGAGACAAGAAACCTACCTTCCAGCACCAAATGAATCAAAATAGTAAAACTGCATACAGAACCTGGGAGCTTCCCAATTCATTATGACTTTAAATACTACTTTTTTCTAAGTCTTAATTGTACACTGTCTTTATGAATGACATGGTTCAAAATAGAAATGTCTGGTGTCATCAAGATGAATGCAGCACCTTCAAGGCTTCAACATATCATGCTTCACCATGGTGACATCTATATTATGTACACCTGAGTAACAAAATTTTTGCTATTATAATTGCTATTGAACTGAAGTTAAGTCTGACAGTGATTTCTTGTATTTTCTAAGCCTATGAACAATTACAAATGTATACATTCTGGCAAAATACAAATTTTTTATCCTCTGTGGTCAAAAACCCTACAAACATGAAATTTGAATTTTTTACATAGATCAGCTTGGACAAAAACATAAAGACATGCAATAGATAATTAAGTCTATACTCAAAACATGAACTGCAGTTGTATTACTGTGCTACCTTTTCACCAGTTTTGAGTGAAAAGCATTGCAATACTTTTCAATTTTGGGTATGATTTTTTCACAATCTGGAAAATCAGCGTGAGTGAATCACACAAGTTATTGGTCTTGACCTTCATCTAATAAAACAATAATCTCTAAGAAAAATTCTTTCCAGTGGAGTATGTTTATTAAAGACAAGGAGCTAACAAAATTAATGCATACAAATACAATCATGTATATATATGTATGTATAATTATTGACATTGCTCTGCAGATAATTATTATTGAAATTATCTCTCAATTAAACTTATAATTGCTGTTTAAATATATTTATTTGTTTGCATAAAATTTCAATACTTGAATAAATTATAGATTTATAATTACAGTAATATAACACATTAAAATATTTGTGGCCAGGTATTTTGTTGTTTCTTTTTTATTCACACCATGGAGCGCACTTACAACATAACTTTTCAAAATTGAAATATTTAACTAACCAAATCTGTAATTTTTGTCATTTTAAAGAAGTTAACTGTTTGGCAAAAAAAAAAAAAAAAAAATTTCCCTTCTTATATTTCTTTAAAGGGAGACACAGTCAAAATTTTCATATTTTAGATTTTAATTTTCTATCCAATATTCTATAAATGTCACCGAAATGAGTAGACTAAGCAGTCCTTGGAACAAAATTTTTTTCCATATAAAGAAAAAAATGTTGGTTTCCTAACCTGACCCACGCGGGTCAAGTTACAGCATTTAGATTTCACCATAGTTATCACCGTGAACTATAAAAACGTAAAAGAACCTGTCAAATGAGCGACTTAGGCTTGTTTTAATCTTACAATATCTACAATATTTGTTTTGTTAACTTTTAGGGATTGTAATGTCAAATGACTTGTTTTTAAAACTACTCATTAGTTCTTTCTGCGTCGTCATTTCGTTCAACATATGTAGACTTATTTAGGTTTTAAACTCACATTATAAAGTATTTATACAGACAAAAACATGCAGGGACTTTTAATCACTTTTTAAACTTCATTTTAGCATAAGTTAAGTAAATATGGTAAATTTAATATTTTGTCATATATTTGCCTGAGTATCCCTTTAAATTATGTTCTTTTATTCAGAAAATTTGTTTAATTCAATGATCTCTAAGGCTTTTGCTACTTTCAGCTTTATCATTAAGTAAGTAATAGATTACAAAACTGAACAGGAAACTATTTCTTGCAATTTTTGCGAAATTTGGAAACAGAAAAGATAAAATTTTGCTTCAAAAACATATGAATAACGTAAGTTTTGAAGGTTTTCTAGGCTAATAACTTGACTCCAGGAGGGTAAGACATGTTAAATTATGCTGGCAAAAGTTGATAGTGTTTAAAAAAGGTCCTGTAGAACTTAGACAACAATAATAGTTGATCATCATTAACTTAACATACATAAATGTTATATCATAATAAGATATAACATGTGGATGAAATGGTCCCGCTTGCATCTAAGGTAAATGCTTTTAAAGATCTTAAACAATTCTAAGGGTTACAACCTTCCAACATTTTTGCACTAGGTAACAATGGGTACCAAAGTTGATATTACCTATAATGGCAAAAGTGAAATTACAATATAGGATAACTATCACATAAATATAACAGGCC